TCAATTGTCTACAAAAGGTTTGCAAAAATATGTCAGAAAAGAATATTGAGTTTTTTATTTTACATCATAATGAGAAAGAACAAGGGGCAACATTAAAAACACTTGAAGTAATTAAGTCAAACAAGAACACAAATGTGTACAAAATGTCCCCACCAATGGGTGATCCCATCAAATGGTTATCCTGAAAATGAGTAGATAAGACTTTACCAACACAATTTGAGGATGGAATATTCAAAATGGCCACCTTAAAATTTACCCAGAATGCCAAAAATGTAGTCAGTTCTAGATTTTCAAACTAAGAACCACCCCTGAAAATTTTTAATTGATCCGTCACACAGTTAACCAGAGAACATGTAAACAAGACTTTACAGACAAGATTTTAAGATGGAAAATCCAAAATAGCTGCCTTGACATTTACCCAGAATGTCAAAAAACTAATCTGTTTCGAGATTTTCATACTATAAGAATCATCCCTGAAAATATGACATTGATCTACCAAATGGTTCACCTGAAAACGCGTAGACAAGACTTTACAGACAAGATTTTAGGACAGAAAATCCAAAATGGCCGCCTTGACATTTACACAGAATGCCAAAAAACTGATCAGATGTAGATTTTCACAATAAGAATCATCCCTGTTTATTTAGTAAATAGTTAAAGTATGAAAACTCAAAAACACCATTCAATATGATACAAAGTATTATCGTGCGCTAACTTTTCTTAAGACATTCAAAATGGCTGACATGACTGAGCTAACAGGTTCAAAACCTAATCAGATCTAGAATGAAGTGAGCTGAACAAGATGTTAAAGTTTTAAAAGCAACTGTGAAGCCGTTTTTCTTAAAGTTTGCAGACAAGGATTTTAGTATTTTTTTTTTATCTTTCAATCTATCTTTATTTCTTTTTAAAATATGTTTTACAGTACAAATCTACATAATTGCATTAAAATGATGCATTTTAATTTCATGTGTATCTTTACAATAGTTGACAAATATGATATACCACATTTCATTAAGCCATTCATTAAAATGTTTGTAGTCAATGTTTCGTGTTTTATATCCAAAAATCAATGTTTTAATATCTGTTAAATCTATTGTGATTTTAAAATGATTAAAAATGTACTCTTCTAATTGTTTTAGCACTCTGTTTACTCTTTTGCAATCTAAGAATAAATGTTTATAATTTTCAACTACGTTACATAAATCACAGTTTTCAGTTTGACTTATTTGCCATCTTTTAAGTAAGAACTTACATGGTAAAATGTTATGAAGCAATTTATATTTACAATTTGCAGATTTTTTGTTCTGACACTTATACAAGAAAACCCATACACACTTGAAAAGTTCAGTATAATCTTGAAGCTTACATAGATCAACCCATACCTTTTCCATGAATGGTTTTGATTTGATCTTGTCAATTAGAATTATATAAATGTCTTTTGAAGTAGTTTTTTTAGTCAGACACTGATATGTGTTGGAAGTAACATTATAAATTTTTAATGACTGTTGTGTTGAAACTTTTGTCTTCTTGCTCTCTTGTGAGTTCATACTGTCCGCAAAGTACGTGGGTATTGCATGTCTGATTTGACTATATTCCGACATCCAATTGATTTTATTATTGAGTTTGTTTAACACATGTCTTTGGGATCCCATTAAGTCATTTATGTAAATAATCTCAGAATTTATCCAGTTCTTGAAATATAGACTTTTGTTTTTGAAGATTACATTTGAATTGTTCCAAATAACTTGCTTTCTAATGTCAGCAAATGATTTGTTTCTGGAGGATGCTCCTCCAATAAGGCCCCATGCATCTAGAATGTCTTGGTAAAATTTAGGAAGGATGTTAAAGTTAGTTATATTTTTTGTAGTTCCATATGCACAGCTGAAGATGAGTAACTCATTTTTTCCTAATCCCAGTTTACTTAAAATTTCTCTTGCTAGCAAGTTCCAATTGTCAGATGCATTACCGTAAAATATGTCAATGATCCATTTTATTTTAAAAGAGCTAAATTTAGACTTAAGATCAGGCATCGAAAGTCCACCTTCGATAATAGGCCCAATTAAAGTTGATCGTTGTATTTTGTCTCTTTTTCCGTCCCATAGAAAATTGTAAAGTTCTGTATTTATTTGTTTGATAAAATTGTCACTGGGTGTTTCAAGACATTTTGCTAGGTACATTAGTTGAGATAATGCTAAAGTTTTAATGATAACAATCTTTCCATATAAAGTTAATTTTCGTTTTTTCCAAAGATTTAAGGCTCGTTTTAATTTGTCAGCTTTATTGTTCCAGTTTAGCTCATGCACTGCTTGAGAATCACATCCAAAAAAGACACCAAGTGATTTAATTTCTGTTTTCCATGCTATATTCAATAGTTTGTCATTTTTATTGTTTCTTAAACTGCCTAATTTTATTCCTTCTGTTTTTTCAATATTTAGCTGCAGACCTGAAACAGCTCCAAATCTCTTTATTTCCTGAATAGCCGCATCAATAGAAGTTTTACCAGTCAAAAATAAAGTAGTGTCGTCTGCTAATTGACAAAGTTTTACTTGGTTTTTCCCAATTCTGATACCTTTTATCTTAATATTATTTCGGATGTTTACTGCCATGATTTCTGCTGCAACTAGGTAGATCAGCGAACTCAGGGGGCAGCCCTGTCGAATACCACGGCTTATGTCAAAGTATGGTGAGAGGTTTCCATTGTTGGATACACAACTTTGTACTCCATTATACAGTGATCTTATCCAGGTGATAAAACTGTCTCCAAAGTTAAATTTTTTAAGTGCTTCAGTTACAAATGGTATCTCTAAACAATCGAAACATTTGCTGAAATCTGCAAAAATTATTGCTGATTCGACTGCTTTTTTATGTTTATTTGTGTATTCAATTATGTCATTAATTAACCGTATATTGTAACCTATAAAACGCCCTTTGATATATCCTTGTTGATCCGTTTTAATAATATGAGGCAGCACTTTATGTACAAACATGTGCACAAAGTTTATAGTCAACATTTAACATGCTTAATGGTCTCCAATTAGAAAGTAATTTATTGTCATTTTTCTTGAATAAGAGTTTAATCAGGCCTTGTCTTTGTGTGTTGATTAATTGTCCTTTATTATAACCATCATTTAAAACATCTACAAGTTTACAGCCTAAAACTGGCCAAAATGTTCTATAAAATTCCACAGATAAACCATCTGGTCCAGGTGATTTATTTAATTTCATACTGAATATAGAGCTTTGTGCTTCATCAAGATTAATTTTCCCATCACATAACTTTGCTTGATCATCTGTTAGCTTTTGTTTGACATTAGTGTTTTGAATATAGTGTTCAATTTTAGTATTTGACTTCAAAATGGCCGACAGGAAGTAGGTATCGAGTTAAATTTTTTTCATCCACATCTGTATACACTCATAAGTTATCCCTGAAAATTTGAAGGTGATATCTGTAGCGGTTTTGGAGAAAACTCCCGGACGGATGGACAGACGGACGGACATCTTGTAATATATAGATACACTGTCCCACATGTTTTGTTAAAGAGCAACTGAAGCATACAATCTTTCCACAAAAATAAATTCAGACCAACATTTGGATATCAGACGGACGTGCCTAGGCCGACAATATGGCCCCACACTATGTGGTGGGGACATAAAAAGCATATCAATCAATTATATAATGATTTTTGTTTATTCATGATCATATTAAAACTTGCCTCATCTAAAATAAAATGTTGACCAATTGTTTCTTTCATCTTCTGAGTAAAAATTTCTCTTTGTGCATCATACTTTGTACAGTTAATAAAAAATGTTTTTCATCCTCAATACTATCACGTACACACAATACATAGTCTTTCTGTAGCTAAAATTGGTTTAGGTTGAGCATGACGCTCAGTTTCGATTTTTAAACCATGTGAGCTTACACGAAACCTTGCAATTGCTTGTCTGTATTTCTTGTTATCAAGTGTTGCATATGTTTCTAAACCAAAATCAGTTTTAAATAATTTTTAAGTGCGTAGTATAGGAAAGTTTAAATATATTAATTGCCAGACAAATCAAACGAGACTGAAATTTCATATTTTGTTCACTATCAATTTTATCCTATATAGAATGACACAGAGTGATTACTATTGTTATTATTTGGGAGTATTTAAAGATTTTTCACTCATTTTTGAATCCTTTGGGAGATCTTGAATCTGAGATTGTAAGGAATGTAGGTAGGTCATTGTACAAGTTGTTTGTAATTTTGTCACCCCCTATAGATCAGATTCATTTTAATATGGAGGCCTACTACTAATAACAAAAAATTGGCTACCATAACAAATGACACCAGTTTATGGTCTCAGAATGTTCAAAAATAATTATTTTTATCATGTTTTCAATGTTCAAAGTCAACGATTCAATACGTATATTTTTGTATCATTTAGAATAACATTAAAATATAGACACAATAGAAAGATCAATCCACAAATCCTTTGAGGTGAACAAAGGTATTTTTTCACAAGACTTTCAAAAAGTGTCAGTGGACTCGGGGTCCTACAAAAGTGAATGAACTAAAAATGGAAATTTTGCCGCGGCACAAATTGCAGTTAGAAATGCAATACGGATTAGATTTTGAATATAGTAGATAAATCCATAACATTCATCAAGACTCTCAAAAATTGGTAGTAGGGTGGGAGCTACGAGCGCTGCAGTTTGCCATCCAGCCAAATATTCCTTTTATAGGTTTTCTATTCTTAAATGTTTTCCTTTTGATAAGTGGCTTTAATACCATTTTGGTCTTTTAACCCTTGTCATGCTTCTGAAACTTGTGCTTAATAACAAGAAACAATATGTGAGAGTCATACATTTTATTAAATTATCCATAATAGTAGTACTGTACAGGAAACAGAGTATGACAGAATTGTAAAAGAAAACAATGTATTCTTTAACAAGGCTGTAGTCTAAAAGATATAACACAACAATTTCAAAACATGCATAATGCTGTTTCAAATCAATTCCCGAATCAGACATTTTGGCAAATAACTCAAATTGGCAGATGTATTTTCTTTTATATTCTTGCATTCGCTTAAAACCCTCCTCAATAGTATGACAACATTATGCAATTGAAGAGTGAAAGTGAAAGTAATTCTTATGTGGCAATCTTCACAATAATAACAGTAATGTATCTAAGGGTTTGAAAATTTTGTAATACACGTTTTTTTTAATGTAATAACATACATTAGCTGACACCATTATAGCAGCTAGCAGCCATACAAACAGCTAGCTTAATTGAGCCTCCTCTGAATATATTCACTGTCCATTGTCTCTGAGGCAAACTAAGAATGTTTCAAGCATGCAGAAATGGTCAGCTTTACAGTTTTTATTTGACGTATGAACTTCTAATATCCTGGTGTAGCACTTACTATTTCGTGTGTATGGACAGACATTAAACTCAACTAAAGATGACCATTCCCAGACTGTCTAATCACTATGTTAGCATACTCATGCATAAATATACCATTTCAGTTATTCTAATGCTCATAGTCATTTATTTTTTTACTTTGCCACAAAGTCCTCTCCTTTTTTGATATTTGCTTGGAGCTCTTCCATGGCTGCCTTAAGGACTCCTACCTCATACTCTATTAATTTACCAATACCCAAGTTCTTTTCAATTCCATTTTTCTGAAAACAAATAATTCATAGATGTAAAACAAGTATTGTGTAGGATCCTGCAAAACCGTTGAATCTGACTAAAACTGATTCATTGGTTGCTAGCTGTAAGCCTGTCATCACACATACATGTCATTCCACAATTATAAATATAATGTCACCATAAAAAGGAGAGTATATGCAATTTTGATCTTAAATAAATAACCGCAAATATTTTGAATCCATATCAAATACATTTTTTCACAATCCGTAAGTTGAAAATCAGATTTTTTAACTTTCACCTTTTTCAACTAGACATACAGCAACTCCACGGAGTAGCAAATCCCAATGAACCAAACATATTTTGCTTATTAGTGGCCATCTTGAAAATTCCTTCTTGAGCAGAGCTTGTTTGTCCCTAGGCATTAACATGTAAACCATATCCATCAATTAGCATTTGAGTTATCAAAGATTACTTCCTTTTTTTACAAAAAATGGCAGCCATTTTGAAATTCAGCCGCCATTTTGAAAATCTTTCTCAAACAGAGCAACGGTGTCCCTAGGCATCAGCATATAAAATTTCAAAAAAATCCATTCACTGCTATTTGAGTTATCAAAGATTTGAACCAGATCCTTCAACTAGTATTTGAGTTATCAAAGATTACATTTTTTCGAAAAATTGCCGCCATTTTGATATTTAGCAGCCATTTTAAAAATGTCTTCTTTGTCCCTAGGTATCAGCATATAAAATTTGAACCAAATCTATTCTCTAGTATTTGAGTTATAAAAGATTACATTTTATTTTGGCTGCCATTTTGAAAATCTCTTCTTTAGTATAGCTCCTTTGTCCCTAGGCACCAGTTTATACAATTTGAACCAAATCTGTCTATTGGAGTAATCAAAGATTATATTTTTTACGAAAAACGGTGGCCATTTTGAATTAAGTGGCCATATTGAAAATTCCTTCTCCTGCAGAGGTTCTATCGCAATAAGGCATAAGCCTATAAAATTTGAATCAAATCTGTCAACCGGTATTTGAGTTATTGCCACACAAATGGACAGACGAATGGATGGCTTTTCTATATCCCCCTCGAACTTTGTTCAGTGGGATAATTATCATTAATTTACCTTCAAACAAGAAACATATTATGAATTCAAAAAATCTAATTTGGAGTTAGAATTGCAGATAATAGGCCTTTAAGTCTATATGATAATGATGAAATCATGATTATTCAACTACTGTAGATTGGGTTAATTTGGCGCTACTTAATTTGGCGATTTTGCCATTTTTGGCATATTGGCCGCTATTTAATTTGGCGGATATGCGAAAAAAAATTGTTTGCGAATTACCACGTAAATGGGCATATTTGGCTATGTTCATTTTTCTTTTTTTCTTTTGAGGACCACTGGCGATATTCACCACGTTTGTACATTTTTGTGAGATCATCCTTTACATTTTGCACCTCGATCGATGCTGCTACAATACCACACTTTTCCTTTCCAGTTCTTCCCTGAGTATTAATGAGTGACTGACGTTCTGAGCCAATTTATGAGAGACATTTTTCATATTTTTGGAAAAAACTAAACAGGAAGTGACCTAAATACACTGGACGAAATACCCTAGATAATTCCCAGGGATTCATTCTAAATTTTGGCGAAGATTTATATTGGCGAATTTTTCAATTTCGCCAAATTCGCCAAATTAAAGCGGGCGCCAAATTAACCCAATCTACAGTATATTATAATCTCATTCAAAGGATAATAATATCAATTATTTACCTGTTATTGAAATCAGGTTCAATTGTAGGCTATCAAACTTCAATTAATCTTAATTTATCCATTTTCTGTTTTTATTCTTCACTGATTTTTTTCACATATTATTCTCAAATTTTCATTCTAAATAAGCTTGAATTACTGTATTTGTCTTTAATTTGGCGCTACTTAATTTGGCGATTTTATATTTTTGGGCCAATTGGAGTCATTTTAATTTGGTGCTTTTCAAGTGTCCCTGACATCTTACATGTCTTACTGTCCAACAAAATTCAAAATACTCATTGTCAATGTTGTCGATGAACAATTTCTACAATATTTCTTGTTGTTTACATGAATTTTTTCAATATTTATTTTTGTTTCTATCATTTAAAATGGCCCATCCATCTTGGTATCTTTCTTACAGGTAATGCACCTAACGAAAAACATGTCAAATTCCCGGGGATTTAAGCGACTATTCTATTCGGTTCAACTAAAATCTTTTTCATGTCACATTAATTCCATTTGGCATCAATTCATTTAACAGTTCTTCATGTTTTAGGTACCAGATTGTGCAAATTGACAGATTTTGCTTCCCTTTCTATTGTATTTATGACATCACAGTCCAAGGAATATTCACAAGTATTATTGATTTTATAATGATATGTATATTACACTATCAAATACTTGGACATAAACCCAATTTTCTGTAATTATTGAGGTTTTAAAGAAATATGCATATAGAAAGTGAATTAATTGCCTCTTAAAACTGAAAAGAAGTTGGGAGTACTCGTAGTTCATTGGAACTTTTCTTACTGCTTAGTATTAAAGTTCAATACTAATACAAAACAAGGCATTAACATGCAAAATGTCACCACCTGCCATATGTTACAGAACCTAATGCTGAACACAAAACGCCGCTACAAAAAAGTTGAAGACTATAATAATATGCTAACACTTGTGTTGGTGACACAAAAAAATGAATAAAACTAGAGAAACATTTAGAAACATCCTCAACGGTAAATATGTAGCAGCAAGCTAACAGCACCCAAATACAGGCTAATGGCACCCCATGGCAGGCTAATGGCACCAAAGGGCAGGCTAATGATACCCAAGGACAGGCTAATGACACCTAAGGAAGGCTAATAACACACAAGGCAGGCTAATAACACCCAAGAGCAGGCTAATGAAACCCAAGGACAAGCTAATAACATCCATGGCAGGCTAATGACACCTAGGGCAGGCTAATAACACCCAGGAAAGGTGAATGACACACAGACACAGGGGCATATATGCTTTAACGGAAAATGTAAGTTCAAATTTCTAATGTGTGTCAAAATTACTTTATTTTTCACCTTAAACATACAGGCAACTTTTCCTTGCCACTATGAATTCTTGCTGCCAAATTACAATGTACTTTCTCAACTGAGACTGCCCAAACACATTTATCATTTCAAAATGCCAAGACATTTACAGCCTTTTTGGCCTGATTATTTAACAAGGCACGGGGTGAACAAATTAACAATATCGTACCTAAAACATAGCAGTGTGGGCTTGATGACCCAGAAAGCAAGATGGCTGCCAAAAAGTTAATCAGTTCTAGAACTTCTAACCATGTAACATGAGTGGAAATTTAAAGTAAATCCGTTAATTGGTTTTCCAGGAATTGCGATGACAAGTTTTATCTAAAAACTTCCAAGATGGCTGCCAGAATCCAAGATGGCAGCCCAATGTTAATCAGCTCTATAATTTCTTACCATGAAACATGTGTAAAAATTTAAAGTAAATCCATCAAGTGATGACAAGAGTTATCTAAAAACTGCCAAGATGACCGCCAGAATGCAAGACGGCTCTCCAAAAAATTAATCAGCTCTAGAACTTCTTTCCATGTAACATGTGTGAAAATTTGAAGTTAATTCGTCAAGTGGTTTTCCTGGAATCGCGGTGACAAGATTTATCTAAAAGCTTCCAAGATGGCTGCCAGAATGCAAGATGGCTGCCGAAAAGTTAATCAGCTCTAGATCATCTTACCATGTGGCATGTATGAAAATTTGAAGTAAATCTGTCAAGTGGTTTTCCTGGAATGGCGATGACAAAAAAATTCAAATTCAAAAATATCAAAAAAATTCCAAGATGGCTACCAGAATGCAAGATGGCTGCCGAAGAGTTAATCAGCTCTAGAACTTCTTACTATGTATCATGTGTGAAAATTTGAAGTAAATCTGTCAAGTAGGGCTGGCATGGAACGGAACGGAATCGGAACGGATTTCGGAACTTGGCTTCGGAATTCGGAACTTTCGGAATTTCGGACCTTATTTAAAATAGTTCCTACTTCTCCCCTTAAGTTCTCATTTTTGTCACCATTGGAACAGCAGTGTACAACTACATATATATAAGTTGTATTATGTTTATTAAATACAAACACTAACACTATCTAACTGCCAGAACAAGTGGCATAAATGTTCAAAACTAATGGCAAAATGTTAATGTCCTTGCCTTCTTGGCACCTTGGCACACAACTGTTACTGTCTTTCTTTCAATAATAATCTTTTCTTATATGTACAGAATATATATAAAACAATCATACTTTATTTATTTCTATCATTTATTACATATAAAACAACTTTACCAAGTGAAAATGTTTAATAATTATACATATTTATTGATTTCGTTTCATAATACTAGTTCGCTATAGCGAGTAAGCGTGTCGGTATAACGATAAGTGAATGTTCTTTAACAAAATAAAAGTTCCGAAATTTATCGGAATATGAGAAGGTAGGTCCGAAATTCCAATTCCGAAGGCAAAATCGGATGGTTCGGACAATAATTCCGTTCCGTGCCAGCCCTACTGTCAAGTGGTTTTCCTGGAATCGTGATGACAAGAAAGTGAGATGCCGCCCGCCTGCCTGCCAAGCTGACGACAATATTGTACCTTTTTTTAGGTAGGATAAAAAGGTGCAAGAAAACTTAGACAATTTATTTTCCCAACATTTCAGGGTCTGTAAGTACCATTATGGAAAGTAGCAAGTAAACATTCCGAGCACTGATGGGACATCCTCCGATCACAGGGCTTCAAAATCCAGAATATATTCTTTCTTTTTACCCCCTGTGATAAGCAATTACCATTTCCTCAATTAAGAACTCGCAATCTGATTGGCTGTCGCAACACTGATATAACTCAAAATTTATTGACATTGCGTTTAATTAGATCAAGTGATTCAGTTAAATCGGGTGCTTCATAATTGTTGGTTATAGCAGAGGGAAGAAGGAGGTACGGATTCTGGACACCTTCTCAGGAGGATGTGATGGGAACCTTGGCAGAGTTGTTCAAAGCGTAAGCATTAGTGCCAGCATAACATACATTTTTATATCTACTAAAGTTATAGGTAGCAAAGCAGGCCTCAAGGTTATACCCACTAATGGTTAACTCTTTGGAACCTGAGCAGATGAAGGTGATTTCCACAAAGATCATTAATGTGTATTATGAATGTATAGCATTCAAAAGCTGTGAGTCCTTAAAAGATCTCACCCCATATGTTATACCACTCTGAACAAGCAAAAAGATTTTGATCACACCCTTATTTTATACCAACTGGCAATTTAAATTTGTATAAGATTTTGACCTCACCCCTAGCCCAATGTTAAATGTGGCATTGAACAAATATTATGATATTATGACTTCAACCCTCTGTTATATGTGGCTTTGAACTAATATTATGGAATTATGACCTCATCCCTATGATATATGCGACCATGGGCTTTCAACTCTAATTGAAAGCCCATGATGCGACTTTGAAATAATATTACGTGTAATGATTTTGACTTCATCCCTCTGTTAATGCTATAAAATGCGTTATATGATAAGATCTTGATTTCGTATCTATCATTATGAGATTTTGACTTCATATCTTGAATAATTAGTACATTTAGAGTTGATTTCAAATCATATGACACTGTCTCCCTCCTAATGTTATAAGGTTTCATAAGAAAGGTTTAGAAATCTTCATCCATTCCTATTGTTATGAGAATCTGTCTGCCTACAGCTACCAAAATGCTATACAGATAGGACTACATTAACGATCTATGTTCACCCTGAAGGTTATCACTTACCCCTAAAATAATGGGGGTTGCAAAATACTTAGCCTCAGTTTCATCTGATTTTACAAAGGCACATTCTACTATATCATCCCGCCCATGTAATGCTTCTAATACTGATTTTGTAAATCGTGCGCCTGCATACGCCATTGATAATGTTGCGGAGCCCTAAATTTAATATGAAACAACAACACTGAATCACTATGGCAAAATGGTCCTGTACCTTCAGTTGCTGTGACAACAATTCACATTACACACTATGCTCTGAACATGAATCATTTAAGGTTCAGAGCATTGCAATAAAATCTCATCAACTCTCTCTACTCTCCACTAAATGCCCCCATTTGAAATTAATGTATTAGGGTCGTTCGAAAAGTTTTGCACGAAAGCTTCTCAAGAGAAAAGATTTTATCATATTTAAATGAAATTTGATACTTGTAACTATGGCAATGAGAATTTTGCGTCACCTTGAGAACAATTTTGGGGAGAACACTTAATGAGATTTTTTGCTTTGTGGTTATGTGATGTGTTAAAGCAACCTTGGCAACAGGTACAACATATAACAGTATTGGGTACTTACACCTAGTTGAATGGGGGTAGCAAAATATTTTGCATCAGTTTCATTTGATCGAACGTAAGCACATTCAATGACTCCTTCCTTTCCTGCGAGAGCTTCCAACATTGATTTTGTGAAACGGGCCCCAGCATATGCCATTGATAATGTAGCAGAACCCTAGTAAAAGAAAGAAACATATTTTCCATTTCACATTGGCTCATTGTGTTCCTCATTGTGCCCAGCTTGTGCTGCTGTTACTATGGCAATGGCACTATTGGTAGCTAAGGCAACATGAACAAAGCTTAGAATTAGTGTGGGAAGGGAGGTGCAGTGCAGGGTTTTAAAGCTTAAAATAGCTAAAAAGATAAACAAAAGTTAGAATGATTGGCAAACTGAAGTATGAAATAGCAAATGAACAAGTCATTACAAACTGTATGCACTGTAACTATGGTAATGTTTTTATTTCTTATTATTTCAACAAATGGACTATAATATGTCAAAAATCTTACAATGTGATCACTGATCCTGAAGTGATTCATGCATTCCTGTAATAATGTCAAACAGGAAATAACCTAAGATCATTATTATTGTCCAAGGGGATTTCAGAAGTTAAATAGTTCAGAAGTTTATAATGTATAGATAGTTTGAGATGATGCAAAATGTGTGAAAATGCTACCAGAAAAGTGCAGTTTGTGAGGTTAACCTCAACATTAACCAAAGAACAGTTTATACTTTTGTAAATACATATACTGTCTACTCTACTCCTGGTAATTTTTACATGCTACCTTATTTTCTAAATGTAAGTTTTTAAAAAGTTGACAAATATAACAGATATCTTCTTGTATAATCTATTTATGCAATAAAAATGAGGAAAACAAATATTTAACTTAGAGGCATGACATTTTAGAATCACAAATACTGGAAATATCATAGCATCAAATAATACCAGGAGTAATGTATAACAATTTCTTAAATCGATCATATTATACAACACAAAAAGTGAAATGGGAAAGATGTACAGTTAAAGTAAATGAAAATATTATATACAAGTGATGAAACTAAAAACTGTGAGATTAAAAACACAATTACAAACATGGCTAAAAGATTTGAGCACATTTGTGAGTGAATCGCATATTTGTTTTATATGACACTTGAGGCGAAACACTCATTTTTTGTCTTGATTTTAGTCACCATACTTGTGGGCATGGGTCATTCACTTAAAATACCCTCAGGCTAGTGCTTAAATCCTATATTACACACAGAGTACACAGTGCAATATATTGTACTACATATATAGCAATATATTGTACAACATAGCAATGTATTGTATTACATAGCAATGTATTATACTATTTCAATCTGAACTTCAAGCAGAGTCAGATCTCTGTGCAATTTATTCAATGTTTTGTGCCTTCTCTCACAGGATTATGAGCTCGTTTTAAAAATGCTACCTTGTTACATTAAGGTTTGTCATATAAAAGTAAAATATCTTGAAAATTGCCATGATTTCAACGCTTTAACTGAATGACTTCATTTCTCAATGAGAGTGGGAAATGAATAAGAATCTGCAGAGAGGTTGGCAGAGACACATCAAACAAAATGCTATGGAGATATGACAGAGGCCATGACGGATACAGCCAATGCAGGCAAAATGATACAAGTAATAGTCACTAGAATTAATTCATGTACATGTACTTAATAAGTGTAAAATGAAACATGCATATTAAACATGAACAAATGAGATTTGAATGAAAGAAAACATATACAGGATGGGTCATAAAGGTTAAAACATGTTCAGAGATTTGATGACTTATTGCAAAAATGCAATAATTCATCAAATTATATCGCAAAAATTGAAATTATGTTCACATCGCTGGCAAAAGTCTCAGTTACGTTTCTCTTAGATGCTAAGAGAATACATTTATTGTAGATGTACACATCTGCTGGATATTCTTCATATCTACATCGTTAAAAGTGCACGAAAGGCATTTTAGAAATGACAGGTGTAATTCCAAAATAAAATTCCTAAGACGGTTTGTTGGTGTAATCAGGATGGCGATTTTGTAAAGCGCTTTTAGCGTTTTTTCAGGTGTCATTCCAGCAATTATTTTCAAACTATGCGCTGGTGTGAGAAAACCATTCTCCTTTCCATCATTAAGCAATGCCTAAATATAGTACCTATAAGTCTCAAAATGATTGGCCCATCATGATATCACATATGACCCAAACTGTATATATATATTTTGAAAATGGTTCTTAATACTAATGGTAGGCATTATATTTAACGAATATATGTTCAATACAATTTACATGCGATCATGCATACAGTGTAACTAATTTTATTAATATTTTGGGGATTTTATTGAGCATCTGTATAAATCTTTATCAATTTTCAACCCTATTTAACAATTACAGTTATATTATCCAAATTTATTCTAATTTAATTAGTAATGTCAATCTTTTTAGAGTGATAACTGGACATTATGTCCATCTTCTAGTTTTCAAATATCAATCATTGGGGATTGTGTCCTCCTGTAATCAGTTGTGGAAATTCGTCTAGGGTTATATAAAAAAAATAGTGAAAAATATGGATTTTCAAATGAAAATTGAGTGAGCCTCAAATTAACCCTTTCAAATTTCCCTATGCCTGGGAGGAAAGCTTACCTTCATTTGTACCATTTTCCACAACTATTAACATTGGGAGACTTTCCCTCATTGTTTTTTATTGTATTTTTCTGTATAATGTTACTTACAGCCCCGGCCTTTGCCTCTACTACTTCAGTTCCAGCATTCTGTATACGTACTGTCATCTTCTTGCGGTCCTCCTGAAAATATGAACGTAGCACTAATGTAATAATGAATAGTAGTGAATCTAAATCCAAGCCAACCTGAACTGACCTAACCAGAAATTTATCTTAAGGTACAATTTGTAAATTGTGTCAATTGAAATCTTCCCTCTTGGTGATTGGTCAATTAAGATAATATAAAATATTGGTATACAGAAATTCAAAAGAACATTTGCAACAACAGTAAAACCTGTATATCCCAAAGACATCTCTAATTAGAAAACCTCTCAATGTAAATTCTTTTCATGTCCAAATTTTATGCTCCCATTGACCAGCATGATAAACATTTCAATAAAATAAAACATTTCAGCCAGTCTCAATGGTGTTTGGATTACTGTATATATACAGGTTTTATTGTATATATCCTACAAAGAATTCAGACATACAGTCAAAAATTACTACTGTAACTAGGGGTGAGACGACAACCCGATGAGTCGAGGACTCGCGGGTTTGGGGCTTCGAGTCGAGTCGAATCGAGTCGAAGTTGATGAATCGAATCATTTTCGAGTTGAGAAAAAAATTCGAAAAAATAAAAAAATTCAGAAAAATACTGTCAATATGCATGTTTTTACTCGATATTGCGTTGAATATATAAGTTTCAATGACTTGGATATGCTTGTATTAAATTATTATATTGTATGTACACATAAATGAAAGAATATATGTAATAAAATCAGAATAAACTTACGACGAATTGTGTTTGTTTATATTTCCGGCTTTCCACCATTGACACATTAAAAATACGAACGGTCAAAAGCGATGTTGTTCGCACTTCGCGCGACTCGAAACGGATTCGAAACTCGAATCGTCATTTTCTGACTCGAATCGGATTCGACTCGAGTAGGATTTTTTCGACTCGTCTCACCCCTAACTGTAACCTATAACAGTACAGGGTCAGGCAAAATAATTTTATAAAGCCTATATCAAAGGGCACTTTTTCAAAGCTTGACTTCAATCCACTTACAAAGCAAACCCAACATTGATGATAAAAGCAACATGTATGCAAATACAGGTAGAATAATCAAAAATCAAAATAGTATCAGTAAAATATAATTGCAATGGCATTTTACACCTCAAACAAATGTAATCAATTATATTTTTGATAGAACATCATTTTTAACCTGACCCCCTAATCATAGTGTAACATTACGATTCTTATGAACATGCCAAAATATATTTTTATTTTGTAATATAATATTAATGGTGGCAAGAGCATAACACAAGAATTGCTAACAATCAACTAACTTAACTACATGTACTCCTCCCAGCTTTCCATTTCCACAGAGCCCAGAAAGATTTTGCCTTGCCCAACAATTTGCAAGATCTTGAATTTTATCATTTTCGGTGGAATTTTCCATGAAGTTGACAGATTTGTTGACAAGAATGATAATCAATCAGCAATGATTTCAACTTGCAGAAAACTGGGACAAGTGTGAGTTGTACATGTTTACACTGGTAACTGATAAATGTAAGATACTTACAGCCTATAAAGTTAAAACAAACACACATTAAAAAATATACTAAAATAGTCGATGGGATAATGAAAGATACAGTGAACATATTATCAAACATGAATAGTGTTTATCTCATAAACATCAACATTGTTATATTGTTACCAAAGGGAATATAAGGTCTTCAACACATTATATTGATTGAATCAAACCCCAAAATGCATAAAGATCATTGAGAACTGACCATATCTGGTCGAGGATGACCATACATGCCTTTGAAAAGGTGTGAAAAACGTTTTGTTGATTTGATTGACTTTGATTGTGTAAAAGATTTATTTGACAAGTTAGCCTGTAAAGATTTTAAAAAATAATATTTCTTTAAATTTTGATTTCTTCACCATTGTTAATAAAAATACATGAAAACAAAAGGGCACAGATATATACAAAAAGCTACTTTAAAATCAGTAATGTCAGTATGTAAGCTTTAAATTCAACAGCCCAGGTGAAATCAATATGCAATTTGTCAAACATCACTCAGATTGGATGACCGCTAAATCAGAATGGATGAGAACATTTTGTGATATAACATTTACTTACTGCAGGGAAGGACACTGGTGGGGTACACTGTGAAAGTAGAGGGATAATCGTCACACCAGAATGACCTCCAATCACAGGAACATTTACACCTGCCGGGTCAATTCCCTGTAAAACAACACAATGATCATGTTCTTGGAGATTCAGTACAGTCAACATTAGGTAATAAGGATGCTTTTGGGACCTCAAGATGTACTCTTCTTGGAGGTGCTAAACGTTGACAGAACATTTATATGTGAATGGATAACAGGACTTTGTTGACATCTAATAACTTTTAATTCAGAAGTCATTGTTCTGCATACAACATATAAGATGAATAATAGACAGGGCTTCTATGGACATAAATTCTAATTGAAAAAAAAGTAAAAAATGATTTTGTGATGAATCTGATGCCCTTTTGGCATCAAAATAGGTGCCAAAATGTCATTACTGCATTAGGAGTTGTAGCAAGAGAGCAACCTGTATTTAATACATGACAAAGTATATGTTTTTCAAGTTTTTATTACAATGTGGATCTTACCCTGGCTTCTCCTACAAAAGTATTTGCTCTTACAACATCCAATGTAGTGACACCAAATATTCTGTTAGGGTCATACACACCATGACTCTTGAAAACTTCACTAGCAATGGGAACTGTGGAATTGACCTAAAAGAAGAAATAACAAAAGAAAATAATGCTGAGCAATCTCAAGGAATCCTGAGGGACTGTAATGTATCGTTTTGAGGTTAATTTACTAATTTGATCATCACCTTAATTACTGGTATATGTGTGAGTGTGATGCATAATGCATACAATAAAACCTGTCTAATCCGAACCCCATTGGGACTGGCTTAAAACGTTCATATTAGGAGGTGTTCACATTTCGAGTTTATGCATTCGCGAGATTCCAGATTCTGAAGAAATGTGAACACATTCTTGGTACATATTTATAGTTCATTTGACCACATAGCTTTATGGCATTTCAGAAAGGGGACATGCCATTAAGAGGCCATTCTCTGACTTAGTCATTTTTTCAAAAGTGTGAAAATAAAAAAAATTCATGAAAAGTTCTTAAAATATTCTGAATAACAAGTTGAATATATATATTTAATGATGGCACAAGCAAAAGGTCTGAAAATTAACATGAAATGAAGGGTTTTGACAGATGCAAAAGATGGTAGATTTGTGATGAAGAAATAGAGGTTTTTGCAGTAACAACACAATTACCTCGAAGTTATCTGTTATGAAAGGCTGAGGACTAAACTTGACATAATTTTCAATCTCAGATTATCAGTAGTATCTAACTTTAGCCGGACAGCCACTCAAAATGTATATGGAGCCCATAAGATTCATTTTTCTCAATTGAAGTCACTATTTCTGTTTTTAGCTTCAGAGGATAGGAGGTACATGAACATGCTAAGTTTACCTAGATCACAAGCCTTACCACAAATATAAAGTATATAGGAATAGAGTTGATATGTGTGAAAACCTTAAACTTCCCATTTTATTGGGGATGGAACTTGTGGACCATGTGTATTTCTAACTTCTTCACATGTGCATGGATCTAAAATTATGGCAGCCATCTTGGATTTGTCATATTATGTGGACATGGTTTTGGTTGTGCTGAATTTGTTTCAAAATAACATTTCTTGTTTACCTTCGATAAGTGAGATAGGCATTTGAAATTAAATACAGATAGTATACTTGACATTTAATGCAGTAAACAGTAATACAATTCATTCTTACATAATAAGTGAGTCCAGACAAAAAGTTGTTATTGTGTTAGTTTAACTGGGCATAAATTACACTCATTGGCCTTGGTTTTCTTAATTGGCTTGGATAAAATGTTGTTCTGTTTATTCAGAAAAGGAGTATACAGTAAAACCTGTCTAATCCGAACACCCATGGGACCAGCCAAAAGCGTTCAAATTGGCAGGTGTTCACATTTCGAGGATATTGTTGGTCGGGGGGGGGGGGGGGGGGGGATTTTCATTGTCCAGTCCACTATATTGAACACTTAATACTTAGTCAGAAAACAATACATGTTGTTGATGAGTTTATTCTACAATAGGCCTATAGCCTACATGTATATGCTATGTTTTATTTACATTTTGAACAATTTCATTATTTTTGGAAAAATAACTCTTCAATTTTGGCAAAAACTTTGTAATACACTGAATAAGTATATGATAGTCTTGTACAAAATCTTATGCTTATTAAATTTTACTTTCGCTTGAAAAAGTCATTCATTGTTGTTTGTTTCTTGGCACTTTTAGCATTAGCAATATTTGAGTAGATATCCTAAAGAATTTTTCATGAGTGCTCATTCGAGGTGATGCATAATCTTTCAAAATATCAAGGGCATTCAGGATGTCAGATGTATGCCTTTTTAGGAGGCATTTTAGTGATAGGATATTACGAAGTTGAATTTTTCTCTTTCTCGTGATATAATCTTGTCTGCAAATGTGTCTGTGTTGTCTTTGTGATTATAAAACATTTACTGATTGAACCCTAGCTATCATAACAGACCCATGGGATATAAAACAGTTAAGACTTGTTCATAATCCAAATCAAAAACATCCAGTTAATTTAAAATAAGGATAAACCAATTATCTCCAAGATTCTCACCTTTCTCTTAATCCAATTCAAAAACATCCAGGTAATTTCTAATAATGATACAACAATTATAATCTTGTCTGCAAATGTGTCTGTGTTGTCTATGTGATTATAAAACATTTACTGATTGAATCCAAGCTATCATAACAGACCCATGGGATATAAAACAGTTAAGACTTGTTCATAATCCAAATCAAAAACATCCAGTTAATTTAAAATAAGGATAAACCAATTATCTTCTTGATTCACACCTTTCTCTTAATCCAAACATAAAACATTCAGTTCTTTTCTAATAGGATAAACCAATTAACAAATGTATTCGCACCTTTCCTGTTGTTTTCCACAATTAGGGATGTCATTGAGACTTCAATAAATTAATTAGGACAATATTGGTTCTTTGATTACATTGCATATGTGAAGACTATAAGAACTATAACATTGACTCAATATGTGGCTATTATTGAAATATCCAGACATTTGATTTCTGATCAAATGTTCAGATTAGACAGGTCAGTTTTTCAAATCTGGTTGTTCACTGTTCAGATTAGGAGGTGTTCAGATTTCAAGGTTCTTTTAACATGGGAGTCAATGGGAGGAAAAAATGGGACCGAAAAAAAGTGTTCAAATTGGAAGGTGTTCGGATTAGCCAGGTGTTCAGATATACAGGTTTTACTGTAGTTCAATATACAAGTTCACATTCGTTCCATCCTCTTGTAGAAATGAAGCTCATATTATTTCATCTCAAATATAGAACACAAAAATATAATAAAAAACAAGTTTCTATTAATTGCAAAAGTTAGCTTCTATGTCATGACTGAGTTTGGGTTCCGCTTCTAGGGAAAAAATATCCATCTGGAAATATCGTATTGACCATTGCTATACACTCCATATTTAATCCTCCCAGTAAATAACATTGATATACAGTGTACACGTATATATGACATCGAGGATCTGGGGTTTGGGTAATGTGAGACATGAGGCCACTTGTCTTTTTGAATCTCATATTCAATATTCTTTCTTTAAACCCTCATATTTAATATTTTTGGAGTGGTAATTCAATTATGTACCTATTTTTTATTCTTTATCCCATAGTTGAACTCTGTTCCGCTCTGTTAGGTAACAAGAAAACATATTTATGATATTTTGCAAATGCGTGGAAAAAGTGATATCTGTGGAATACGGAAAATATTTCACAGATATCACCTTTTGGCAGGGATTTGAAAACTACCACCAATATGATGTGTTTTGTTACATATTAGTGATTTCATGACATCATGGGGATGAATGAATGAATGGATGTTGTTTTGATATGCTTTGTTTAGTTTTAGAGGTGAACTATGGGAAAAATAGAACATCCTATGAATTTTCGTGATATTGTGTTAATCCAACTCATTGATATCAATATCTGCGCTAATTCGTTATGCTAACTTGGCAAGATATTGATTGATATCAACTCGGAGATAAAAGATAAAATCATTTAAAATTATATGATATCCTATACATATCCTTTACTGTGCCACAACTTTCTCATATGTTATATATTTTGGCACAGGCCATCATTTATTTTCCTTGAATTCATGCTTTTGTTCCTCGTTTTAGAAATGAGAGGAAATCTTTGATTTTCCTTGTATTTAAGTTGCTTAAATGTTGCCCTATGATGTTGATAAAAGTCAATAGTAATCCATTACAGTCACAATTGAAATGTACCCATTGCTAGCCCAGAACATACCAAAATAGCATTTGCATTTTGTCAATATTGCCCTATGTGCTTTTCCATGAAAATAATTTTAATCGTATCTTTTCTTCAGTATTTCATATATTACATTTTAATATATTTATGTTGGTTAATATTTATATACTATTTACTTAGACAACAATTAATAAATAAAGAATTTTTTGTAAAAACACCAAAAATGGGGTATGATCTTTAAATGACTATTGTGTGAACATCAAAGGTCAAAATTCGTTGAAATTGTATTTTTATAAAGCACAAATGATTTTTCTTCAATATGATATGCATTATTATTAGATATCTTTGGGGGCTAAAAAGGGCCCTTAATGACACCCGTCCTTTGAAAATTCGATTTAAATGAATTTAGTCATGCTGGAAAGCCCTATTATAATCAAGACCATTCAAGTTTTTTCCCAAAGTTTTGATATCAACAATATTTGAGCAATTCTGTATGAAACATGTGAAATTTTATGAAAAGTGTTCAGATTAGACAGGTTAATTTTTCAAATATGATTGTTCACTGTTCAAATTGAGAGTGATGCATATATGTGATGTCAGACCACAATGTTTATGTCAGTGTGATGCATATATGTGATGTCAGACCACAATGTTGGTGTCAGTGTGATGCATATATGTGATCTAAGACCAAAATGTTGGTGTCAGTGTGATGCAGATATGTGATGTCAGACCAAAATGTTGGTACCAGTGTAATGCAGACATGTGATATCAGACCAAAATGTTGGTGTCAGTGTGATGCAGATATGTGATGTCAGACCAAAATGTTGGTATCAGTGTAATGCAGACATGTGATATCAGACCAAAATGTTGGTGTCAGTGTGATGCATATATGTGACGTCACCATACTTACAGGGTTAGAAATGATGCAGATCATAGCTTGAGGGCAGGCCTGTGCACATGCATCAGTGAGGTCTCTAACAATACTGGCGTTTGTGTTGAACAGATCATCCCTCGTCATTCCTACAAGAGCAAAGATGGAACACTCAAGAAATAAGTAGGACAAGTGTGTTATTCTTTCTCAACCATATCTCAAAAATTCCTAAATAAGTAAAGGACCTTTGCCTATAAGGCATCAGCCCATAGTATTAAATTGAAGTTTGAACCAAATCCAACCACCAGTAATATTTTCAATAATTACATATTTTATGAAAAATGGAGGGCACTTTTAATTAAGTAGACTCATTGAAATGTCTAGATGTACATAAAGCATCAGCCTGTAAAACTTTAACTTGATCAGTATTTTATTGTTAATGCCATAATTGTTCATCTTAACTTACCAGGCTTCCTTGGGACTCCTGCAGGAATCACAACTACATCTGAGTCTTTGACACAGTCCAATAGCTGGTCACTCCCAACATAGCCCTTTACCTGTGCTCTGTAACCACACAATTCAAATCAGTCATTGAATAATAAGATTTGAACAAACAAACGCATTTTTGACTCTGGAATAATGCATCACATAGTTTCATGTTTTCCTGAACCATCACTATGGTAATTCTTCAATGTCAGACACTCCATATTTTTATCACATTTTGTCTGTCAATATTTAGCTTTTCACGATTCACGTTTCGGTAATCGAGAATCACGGTAAATGAATGTTTCTCTAAAAACTGATAATAACCTGCTGAGGATGATAATTTTTTGAAGAGAGGAGACATTTTTTATTGAGTGAATATCTTGTTTGTTTTTCTTCTTTTTTTCCTGTTGATTATGATAATTTTTTGCATTAGACAATGATACATTAATCTGTTCAATGTAATGAGAACCCTGATCAGTCATAGAGGAACATTAGTTGGTTAATAATGAATATCTGCAGTCTTTGCCTTCAATGTACAAATATAACTAAGCTTGGAAAACAATGTTTGACCTAAATATGGTCTAACCCCTGCCTAACTTAGTGTGGCTATAGATCTTTTACATTTAACAATTGTCATAGATATAGGACGCAAACAGATGACACAAGATATAGGACACAAATAAATGACACATACATACAATATAAATAATATATAGGAACTGGTACTCATAAATCAAGCATAAAAGTTGATAGTAAATAAAATATAATTTTCAAGCGAACAACAATGTATGTTTGTTTTTAAAATGGCATTTACTTGCTTTCAATGTGGCTGAGGTCAACTGGGATGCAAGAATTAAAATGACATTTTCTTGGTTTCAATGTGGCTGAGGTCAACTGGGATATCAGAGTTAAAATGACATTTACTTGGTTTCAATGTGGCTGAGGTCAACTGGGATATCAGAGTTAAAATGACATTTACTTGGTTTCAATGTGGCTGAGGTCAACTGGGATGCAAGAATTAAAATGACATTTACTTGGTTTCAATGTGGCTGAGGTCAACTGGGATGCAAGAATTAAAATGACATTTACTTGGTTTCAATGTGGCTGAGGTCAACTGGGATGCAAGAATTAAAATGACATTTACTTGGTTTCAATGTGGCTGAGGTCAACTGGGATGCAAGAATTAAAATGACATTTACTTGGTTTCAATGTGGCTGAGGTCAACTGTGATGACAAGAGTTAAAATGACATTTACTTGGTTTCAATGTGGCTGAGGTCAACTGGGATGCAAGAATTAAAATGACATTTACTTGGTTTCAATGTGGCTGAGGTCAACTGGGATGCAAGAATTAAAATGACATTTACTTGGTTTCAATGTGGCTGAGGTCAACTGGGATGCAAGAATTAAAATGACATTTACTTGGTTTCAATGTGGCTGAGGTCAACTGTGATGACAAGAGTTAAAATGACATTTACTTGGTTTAAATGTAGCTGAAAGCAACTGTGATGACAGAGTTAAAATAAAATGACACTTACTTGGTTTCAATGTGGCTAAGGTCAGCTGCTACACCTGGTGTATGTACAATATCATAAAGTGCTAGCTGTGAAATGAGAGGATTTTCTTTCAATAGAAGTGACAATGGTTGACCAATTCCACCACTTGCTCCAAGAACAGACACTTTGTATTGGTTCTGGAAGACATAAACAGAAGATGTATCACGACAATGAATTGACTGTGCCCTTGTTGGCAAAAACACATATAACAAGGCATGACCATGACAAAATGTCACCACCAGTTACAGTTATTGGAAGTAGTATAAGAATTTGTTACAGATGATGAATGCTGACCGCCCAACAACATCCAAAATATGGTTGGTGACATTAACAATATGTCACCACTTCTAATATAATACTCAGTAATTCATTTTATGTAGTTGATTGAATCCCAATTTGATAGGTTAATCAGCATGAGTAAATTATAGTTTATTATCAAAATTTTTGAGGGTTATCTTATTTATTTAAACTGGCAAAATTCCTCCATCTATTAATTGGTATATTCAGGCTGTTATTAAGGTTCCCCTTCAGCCATCTTGAAAAGAGGTGTGATATTGTGGTGAAAATGAAAATCTGCTGATAAACCTATAGGATTGGAGTTTAAACTCCATAAAGTCCTAAAATACTCAGGAATGTATTGAAGTAGGGGGGATGGTACTCCCATATATTGGCTATATGGGGAAATGCCGCTAAAGTGGGTCACTTTTTCCTAGGTGTGGGTCTATTTTTGGAGAAAAAAACTAGATATGGGTAAAATTAGGTATGGTTATTGAAAAAAATTGATGGAAATGGGTCTTCTTTTTTTTTAAAGTTACCTCAACGCTTTTGAAATAAAAATTGAGACCCTATCTGTTGCAAAAGTTATGCCTGGCACAACTGTCACCATGTTATTAAGTGTTTTTAAGTTGCGCAAGGATCTTACCATGACCGGCCGTGGTAATGTTATCATGAAAGCCTGGTATAACCTTGACAATGTTATATCATATTGCAAGGCCTGTCATGACCATGGTAATGTTAAAGCTTGTTATGACGTGACAATGCTATATAATATTGCAAGGCTGTTAAAGCCTGATATGACAGTGACAATGTTTATATTCTTGAATGAAATTAGAATTATAGTTTGAGGAAATGATTTATGAGTTAACTGAATCTAAAATTTTATGTATCAACGTACGTGAATACCATGTACGGATGGTTGTCTAGATTTACATATATTTAAGGTAATAAACTATGAAATTTTTCATTACGGTATTCTCATGCTACTAAATGTAATTTAATATAACCATTGTCACGGTCATCATACTTTAACATTACCATGGTTCTGACAGGCCTTGCATTATAATATAGAATTGTCACGGTCATATTAGGCTTTAACATTACCACGGTCATGACAGGCCTTGCAATATAATATATAGCATTGTCACGGTCATATCAGGCTTTAACATTACCACGGTCATGACAGGCCTTGCAATATAATATAATAATATTTTTTTAGGCTTTAGAGTCGATTTCATGGTTTAAAACCTTCTCTGATGATTCTATTTTGGAACTTTGCATGCAGGTCCATTCAAAGTTATCTATTGAACCTTGAAAAGCCATATTTAGACTCAGGATTGAAAGGTGTTCACAACAGCTTTCAGTTCATCTTTATTACGATAGACCGGAAGTGAATTTTTGAGTTGAGTAAATGGTGATAATGTTGTTTTTATGAAGCAGGGAAGTCAATTCGATATTTTTCGACATCTGCTGAACTATGGTATGTATGCTTCTGTTGATTGTTATATTACAAAATAGGTAGGGCAAAGAATATGTTAGCCTTGCCCAAGTCGGTCTCTTACTTATCTTGATTTCTATTATAACCGCCTTGTTACCAATGAGAAAGCCACGTGCTTAACAGACTCAATGTTTATGTCGCATGGCTTAAAGCAGCAAATTTCAAATTTCCTGAAAATTTAATGACGAAAGACGAGGCCAAGCAAGCGGTGGGTTTTGGCGGGTCCTCCCTCCAAGAAATTTTGGAAAAATGAGATTTGATTGAGTGCTTTTTCGAGTAATGTAGACCCCACATACACTTTCAAATTTGGAGGAAAAAGTGTTTTCATTGGAAAATTATAACACTAATATTGAAACCCTTGCTTGACCCCATTCTCCCCCCTAGAAATAAATCCAGATTTGTATTGAACTCAATGGGGTCAGATTTTGGTCAATTTTTTCCTGAAATTCCTGAAGACTTTAAGCCATGATGTCGGTAAATTTGACCAATCAACGACAGCCCTGCAGGGTTAGCTCATTATTATGCACGGTCAAGACTAGTACACTTTTCAGAAACAAATCCTCCAGCAAATCTTGCAATTCATCATGAAAATACAAATATTATTTCAGATAAATATCAATCAGAGTTTAGTGGATGCCGGAGTATCAATTATAGGATACCCGGGGTGAGAAGATCTCAACAATAAACGTTGAAAAGATCTCAGATCAATCACTGAATTAGAGCGATGACTACATGGACTAGGCGTTTTCATCGGGAGTTCAGTTTTAAATCAACATTGGATCGCATGATTTAATTTTTATTATGACTGCTTACATTCCAATGAACATTTAATTACATAATATATATGAAGAAATATTGAATTTTAAGTCATAGACGGGTAGTTTGCTATGCCTTTAAACCTGAAAACGTTTTGATTGGTCAATCAGCCTGAAGTCACACATGGTGTCCATGCGATCTGTCAATCAAAACAGTTTCGCGATACCCCTGACAGCGTAGCAATTATGAAAATTTCAAAGAATTTATTTAATTTACACCCTATTGGCTTATTGATTCTCAGCCCACCTTTTTGATTTACTGAGGGAAGCCTGACACTCTTATTACCCAGGGAGCACCTGTGTATTTTAGGTAGGCTAACTGTCCACCTGTGGTCTTTTTAGGGAGATTTCATACTGTATGGTTTTCAAATGCGTTAAAGGACTCAATTATGAAACACAATCCTAGATATTTTCATTAATCAGTAGGCTACATAGGTCTACATGCAAATATGACGTGCGAGCATGGAGGTTTTGCAACACTTTCCGGCGAGGCGTGTGATTTTTGTTACAGCAAAAGTAAAAAATGTATCAAGTTTACGAACCTGTGCTGATGCAGAAAATTTCCTCAAAACAACAAGTGTTGATTTTATGTTAGAGGGGCGTGCTAACCTTGAGAACATAGTGGAAATTACGATTAATATCGAGACAAAAATTCGTCTGAAATATCAAATTTGGAAGGTCACCGGAAGTACAAGTATCCCAGAGTACATTGCAAGCGTAGCAACTGTGCACTATTTTAATACTACGCATACTTATTTCTGATATTAATCATACCTTTTGAGACACGATTGATACCATATTGAGATAATTCATTCACATAAAAACCATTAGATGATATCAAAGGGCAGAGATAATTATAACTATATGCCCAAATTCGAAGAACTATTTTTACCTCGCTTTTACTTTTGTATATAAAAGGTGTTCTTAGGCATCTGTCAAAACTCAATAAATGGCCATGTGAATTTATTCGAAGAATAAGTCTAAAATAAGCCTCATTTGGAGTTAAAAATATGGCGGAGCTACAGCTTATAGAGCCAACTGAGTTATACAATATTTTGAACCAGGGTACACGATACCCAGCCCTGAGTGATCCAAATTACCTTCTTCTTTTAGGTGAGATTTTTTATTGACTCACTCAAAATGTGAATGAAAGTTTCCGATTTTGTCAGTTGTCAGAAATTCAAAAATAAGCTAAAAATTGTTTCTTAATTACATTTTTGATGCAATGTTATTTGGAGAATGAATTAACAGTTTGAGATTCAAACAGTTGTATGTTTTCAGGTGTGTAACCCCCTAACCAAACCTGTCTGGCCCAGTAATCTACTCCCGATTCTGAATTGTCGTAGATCTACGATATCGAGGGTAGATAACTGGGCCAGACGGGTTTGGTTAGTAACCCCCATAAGTGTGGAGTTGATTTGCATTTTTCTTATTTTCGACATTTGAAAATTATTTAATCGAGCAAATCTAAAGAATCGAGCCATCAAAATTGTGAAGTAGGATACTTGCATGAATTGAAGATGAAAATTAAAACTATATCGGCAGTTTCCTTACCTCTTCTTTGACAAAACGCTTTTCCAATATGATAAGCAATAAATGCTTCATAATCAACAAATGTTCAACTTAGTATTTGGCTCTTTAATCTTGTGTGCAATCGGATACCAATAATTTTTTGAATTTTCATGTTATATTACGGAAGTAGATGGAAAACGAAATTTAATGACATCGCTAAAAATTTCTCCATCTAAAATGTCACTCGACTTTTTGGCAATTAAAAGTCCCTGCCTGCATTTAGTAGTCATATATTGTCATGTGCATAATTTTGAAACCATATCCTAATTATTTCACAAACCCTTTGTTGATTCTGCCATAGTTTCCAATTTGTAAACAGCATTTAGCCTTTTTAATTGGGAACTTTTTTGAAATTTCCAAAATGGCTGCCATGTGATTCCAGAATTAACATGAGTGTGACGTGACATCACAGTTGCTCGTTCCTAGGTAACAACAAGATCACAATTGCTCGTTTCTAGATAGCAACAAGATTTTTGATAAAATGGCACAGAATTACCCTGATTAACACCCTTAAAATCCGATTTTCAAAGAATATATTTGGAGAAACAATAAAAGGTAAGTGGAATAAATTAGAAGTTGGTTTCAAGTTACCACAGAAGTCAATTTGAAACTCAAGAATGCTTTCTTTGACTCATAATCACAAAAAAGTCGAGTGATGGAGAATTTCTTAATTAGTATTAATGCCTAGCTTAAAGCGCTTTGTTCTACCTTTAGATTTCTTCAAACTTTCCCTCAATACTAGTTTAGCACAAAACATTGACAAAACATGGTACGTTGCCATGGCATGCCCTATGGCATAGGCTCAAAATATAGTATCTTAGAGCCTATGGCTATGCCATAGGGTATGCAATGGCACCGTGCCATATTTTGTACTAACCCCTCAATACTTACTATTTAGATTTGGTATTGGAGTTGCTCATTTCGATAAGCTATACCCAACTGTGCATGTCCAGAGATTTGTAACGTTTTAAAGTTTATTCTACTATGTATACTTTTTATGTCACCTCAACAAGTATTTACTCTACATACATTATAATCTCCAACAAATAGTTTCTGTAACAAATGGTTCTCGGTCAAAAAAAACTGTCCAGAATTGTTTGCAATACAGTAATACACTAAGCAGTCCTTTGACTGCACACAAAAAATACCGGAAGTACAGTATTTTAATATATTTTAAAGAAAGTGCATTGGAAATTAACTGGTAGGTGTACAGCCAGCACAACACATGTTACATTAATTCAGAAATAGCAAAAATAAGTGTCAAATTTTGTCTGAAATTTAGACACCTTTAGTATTGTACCCTATACAAATATTTTATTTTATCCGATGGATACTAATAACTAATGAATTTGATAACGACACAAGATAATTTTGGTATTCAACACTAAAATGTATCCGATTCATATGACGCCTTAAAAATACAGTTTTTTCATTAGTTTTGAATTTAGCGCCAAATAACCACTTGTCTGTTTGATCTGCAACATGTAGTTCCAAGATTATGTGCTCAGTAAAAAAGAGTTAAAGTTTTTCATGCACATTTGTAAAAATAAGTTCACAGAAAATAGAATGAAAAAATTAGAAAAGAATTAAAAACAACTTTTAGGTCAAATTATTTTAAGTCCATACAAAGATAGCGACCATAGGATAAATATGATATCATATGTTTTTCTTGGACTATCATTTTTATCCACTTTTGGATCTCACTTGTGGAAAACGGCGTTATCCACTCATGGATAATGATTATATCCCTCAAAAATCATAATATATCCTCAATATATATTTGGTAATATGTGTCCTTGGTCGTGAAATACATGTACAATGGGGCCTGTTGTCAATCAATATATATCTATGATTCCAGATGCCAGAAAAAAGCATGAATATAATGAAAGCCATATAGTCACAGCTAAAAAAGCTCCTAAGGTAAAGTATACAAAAAGTCATATTGATCTTATAAGAACTAAGCAGAATTTCTATTTCATAGTGTATTTTTCTGTTGCATATATACATGTACATGGGTCAGTTATAATGTGTCTTTATACATATTTTATGCTGCATGTTTCTCTTGATTTTGGAAAGCTACAGATGCCCACACAGATGCCGTAGATCAAACATGACTGAGGCATTATTGTAAAACATTTTAATATGAAACAAACAAAAGTATGATTGAATATACTGTCTTAGTAAAAAAAATTCTAAATAGATTAATCCTGCAATTATACAACATGGAAAAATTCCCATATTAATTGCAGAATGAAGCAGATGAATTTGTGGTACCATATGATGCTGAACTGGAGTGCAAACAGCATGTAATTGTGTATGATGGCAACACAAGGTCTCTGAAGGAAGAATGTAAGTCTATTATTGTAACTCAAATCCCTTATTCACCAGTCAAGATATTATTATTATGGTGTATATAATATGATATTAATGAATGCCTGGCTAAGATTCTAATAATAAAACTCAGCATTTAACTAAGGACTATAACAATAATTAACACAGCAAACTAATATGCAACAAAATCTGTACAGGAAGGGGTCAGATCAAAATAATAATGACTATCAAACAATATTCATGTGATAGATTCATTATGGTTTAAACCTTCCCTCCCACTTTTTTAACTGTGCCAAAGGCTTTGTATAAAAAACTTCCTGCCTCATACCCACCTACCCACATACGTGGGACATGATTATGTCTTTGAATGCTTCAATTTTAAAGATCTTGGTTTATTAAATCTTAGTTTATGATGAATTATAGATGCATTTGTAATGACCCTTGATAGCAAGTTGCTACTACATTCCAGCTGGGTTTGATTCCCACTCGGAGCATCGAATTTAGCACACTTTCTTTCAATTTCTTTATCTGGCTTGTTGGACCTATGCTCGCGGTCGTTAGTTATTTATTCCCTTGGGGCGCCCTCGGGTCATTACACCTTAAAATGCATCCATATGCCTTTATTTATGGATCTGTTATCTGTATAGTCATAAAATAAAGCTGGAATTGTAGAAATGTTAATAATTTGAGCTATTTTGAGATTTAGTGATCTTTAAAATTGAATCCTGCGATCAATGACTGTATCATGTTCCACGTAGGTGGAAAACTAACTCATACAACCTTTATGTTACAAAACATCAATGGCATATATTACATAATTATAGATTACACATACATTTATTACATAATTCGACAGATGTGGACTCTTAGAAGATTCATAATAATACCTAAAAATTAATGAAAGAAATCGAAATCGAATGTATTAAATAATTAATGCCCCTGGGCTTACACTAAGTCAATATTATATTGATGCAAACTTTGAATTATAAAGACAGGTAGACTATGCCATTTAATGAAATTGCTTTTTCCAAGTTTTAGATCACATACAGGGGTTTCATGAGCAACATGTAAGCATATTGGGTTGTTTTCTCTGGTTGTTTTACCAAAATTGCCTATTTTTAAAGTAACTTTGCAATTCTTTCCATATTAATTCCATACCATCATTCCATGTAATTTCTGGCGTAATTTCCAATAATCTTGCATGTTGTTGTCATTATGAACAATTCTACAAGAACCCCATTCCCCCTCTCTTACATTGCTTAAGCAATACCATTTCTAAGGCAATTTGACTGCAGCAAGTATCTATCTATACATTGAGCCAACCCCTCTAGCAGTAAATTGATACATGTGGCTAGCAGTTGTTATTAATTTCTGCTAAATATGTCAACATTTGACATATAATTTCCTTTTCACCTCATGTATGATATAATATTTAGGGAAGCCCACTCAATTCCAAGAAGATGCCATGCACAGCGACAGCAGGATAATATTATGTCTTGTATCAGTTCAAAAATTGAGAGAGCTGTGAATATGTAATGCACATAGCATTTCTGATCACAACAGTACAAATATGAGAATAAAGAGATTACACCAATGATATAAAACATGTCTTCAGATTATTTTTGGTCAAAACCTCTTACTTACTCATTCCCAGAGTTTTCATACATGTTATTTTAAATGACTTTTAGGAGGGGTTGGATTGTCACTTTCTGCAAGAATCCTTCAATGCCCCTTTGCAGAAAAAGTGGTCCTTCTACAATTCCTTCAGTGAATTTTTTGGGTCAACTACATATTCTCAAAATTGCACACTTTCTAAGACAATGAGACACTGAAATGTAAGGAATAAGTGAATTATTTTTCTGAAAATTTTGAGGTAGGGGTTCGTCTTAACCTTTGGAAGCCCTGGTTTGTAAACTACTACATGAGAGAAAAAAACATTCAATGTTGGTGTTCACTACAAAGAGGGTGATTTATAGAGAAGTCATTAGAGTATGTGCAGAGGAAGGCCGTCCACTAATATAGAGACAGGTGCTCACTAGACAGCTTTTACTGTATTACTTTTATTTATCCTTTCAGCTGATGCAATATCTTGTTCTAAAATCATGTCTGAAATGGGAAGTAGGCATCCAGTGAAAATATTAAGAGGTAAGGTAATTCTGTTTGTTTTCAAATACCATTTACTATTGCAATGAAGTAGTCAAATACCATTTTTGATCAACAATTTATGTTCGAGCTAATCCCCTCAAAAGAAATAGTCAATTCAAGCTCAATTATCAATTCAAGTTCAATTATCAATTCAAGTCCAATCATCAATTCAAGCTTAGTTATCAATTCAAGTCCAATCATCAATTCAAGCTTAGTTATCAATTCAAGCTCAATTATCAATTCAAGCTCACTAAGTTATCAATGAGGCTCAGTTGTCAATTCAATTTTTTATTGGTTTTGTAGGTGGATATGAAGATTTCTCAGCTCTCTATCCATTCTTGAGGACACAGAAGATTCTTTTTATGCCACGAGTAAGTTATTATCCATTTCAATTTACATAGGCAAAACTTAAGCCAAAGAGTATAAAATACTTATATGGAACATATTTTTTGGAGTTTCAATCACTTAAGCCAAAGAGTATAAAATACTTATATGGGACATATTTTTCGGAGTTTCAGTCAAAAAAAGATAACAAAATAATAATCATGTAATTGTAAATAAATAAATGATGAAAGTAAATTGATTTAATAATAATGGTTATTTTTAGGAAATGGATGAAATGAAGACATTTCCCATTGAGATAATGCCCGGGCTACTATATGTTGGAAATGCCAGACAGGGTAATGCTGCATATATTCAGAAAGACCTCAAAGTGCAAGGACATATAAACTGCTGTGTAGAAGCTGGAGAATTGTAAGCTGGTTAAAATTAATTATTCACTGTTAAAGGGAGTTTTGAAAAGTTTGTTACTGCGATTTTACACTCTATTCCTTCTAATTCCTATGTATATGAACAGTTTTAAGCATGTACGAGGGTTATCCCAGAAGTAATGCACTATTTGGTCTTACTTTATAACTTTATCATTATATCTCCCAATATTAGAAAACAATAAGTCATCATTTTACTCAATATTTAGAAGATCAGCCTTTGGTGTTGGTGGCGCAGTAACAGCATTCAGCATTTGTAACAAATTGTTACACTTTGTGATTGCAACTAGTTGAATGTCTTGTACATTATTCATATTTTAATTTGTTTGTTCAGTTTCAGTAAGGAGGGGCCACAATTGATGCACATACCAGTTGAGGACTCTTGCGATGCAGACCTTTACTCAAGCTTTGAGAAAGCATGCCAGTTCATAGGTACATTTTACACATGTAAACTCATGTATATTAAATTAAACCGTTGTAAGTGGAACACCTTTGGTATCTCAAAGAACTGTTCTACTTGAGAGGTGTTCAACTTACAGATGTTCATTTTACATTAAGTTACAGGACTTTGAAAATTATGGTTGTGTACCACTTACAAAGGTGTTCCACGTTACATGTTTTACCATACTAGTGTGGTTTGCACCTGACCTCACTGGCAATAAGGGGCCAAAAGGGTGTCAAGAATTGATCTTTGCATTTAGCATATCTTTAATTTGACATCAATGCATCTGGAATCTGGAACTAACATCAATGTACATCACATGCTAATGTTTCAGATTCATATAAAGAAGCTGGTAAGGTGGTGTTAGTCTATTCAACACTAGGAATCAGTAGAGGTGTTACCATAGTGATGGCTTATCTCATGAATAATTATAAATGGAGTCTGAAGGTACATATACATTGTTTTAGCGACCCCCCCCTTGCCATATAACATTTGCATTTATTTGTATTTTACTGGAAGGTCAACCCTGAAAATGTGGATATGTCTGTAATGACTATGGGCTATTGATGTACTTGCATTTTATAACATATGAAATGTTAAAAGTAACTCTCAAGATACACTGAAAGTGAAAAACATTATTTGCTTGATTCCAATAATGTATTAATGTAACATGTACAACAAATAAACAATTAAGTCATATTCAAATACGAGAAAAGATATATATTATCCTTATTTGTGCATGATGTATTTAATTTTCAGGAGGTTTGGGACCATGCCAAAAAATGTTGCACAAGCATCAGACCAAATCGTGGATTTGTAGAGCAGTTGTCAAAATGGGAAGTTGAACTTTTTGGAGAAAAACTAACAAATATTGATGACCCTAATTTTTAACAAGCTAATAGCTGGACATTCTGTATCTACAGTAATACAATAATGTATGATAAAACAGAGACTGGATTTACTGTATCAGATTTGTATGGGGTTACAAAATTGGTCTGTATCCTCAATACTTTTAAAACTGTATTTTTATTTTTGTATGTATATAATATACTATGTAGATTATTTGAAAAAATGTAATGTTTATGTCCTAGTTTTTGTAAGTTGGTCTGTTCTAGGACTAGAATGTGGGTCATGATAAAATGAATTTATTGTTTATGGTTCAGTTCATATGCAAAACCCGGGGCTCAATAACAACTAAGGGGATAATGATCAGGATCACTCATTGCGATAGCCGCGCCCCCTTTGACTTTATCCTTCCAAAGTGAAGAACTCTCGCAAATGGCAGATAAGAGGTGCTCTGGCATACCAGAATGAGGATCACTGTGTATAACCCAAACGCTCCTACATTCACATTGGAGCGTTTCATTACTGAATCCAAACAAGGAAACGCTCCGGAATAAGAAATATATGGCGGATGGAAATGACCACCCGTCCAACAATTTTATAATAATGGGAATAAGAGGTATAATAAACTAGTATTGTGTTACTTGTTTCGTGCATACCATTCGATGGGCGTGATATTCATGTTTTACTTGGCTGACTGTTGACCTCGATGCTATTTGGAAGAGCTGTAAGAAACAGTATAATTATCAAAATTCATAAACGTATTACAGTATTTGTTATTCTACGGGTAAAACATTTGTTTAGTTGATCAAAATGCTTAGTTGAGTCAAAATTAGAGCATCCATGTATACTTTGGTCAAATCTCACATAAGGAAGCAAACATCATCGTAATTAAATGTCCGAAAAGCCAGGCTAAAATATATGACATTATCATACGTACTCAAGAAATGCTGCGGTCGGGTTTACATGTTATACGAAAACGTTGCGGTAGTCTAGCTATTTCCTTTTCATTCTAGTATATACAGTAGTAGTCTAAAATTGTAAGAACGTTTCTAAAATTGTGTCCAAACGCGACAGATCGTTTCGAGGAAAGCAAGCGATTTCAAGTCTTGAGAATAAGTGATGGGTTTTGACTAGAATTTCACCAAATGAGAATATACGAGTTTATGATCTACTACTAAGTTTGGTATTTTGATACGAATGCTAGTTTAATTCGTAATCTAAGCACAATTCGTCAACTTCAGATTCGTTCGATCTTCACTACGGAGTTTTGATCAAGCAAATAACAGTGAATGAAACGCTCCTGGGTTAATTACTGTAGGAGCGTTAGGGTTGTACACCGTGATGATAGAACACTAAAACTAAGTTGTATTGAAAGACGTATCTTTATTGTAACTTATTTTCAAGTGTAGACTGACAAAACTTGTCATTCCTTTTAATCGTAGCATCATCGCCTCCCTCTCATTTTGTACGATTTACTTACTGGAGTAAGTCACCATCGCCCACGTCTTATATTCTCGAGTCTACACTCTCAGAAATACATGTACACTGTAATATAGAGAATATAAGAGTGAGGGGTTGCTTACTCCTCATGGATTTGCGGCTGTGATAAAATAATGTCTGTATGATTGGCGAAGCGACCGATAAATACATGCGTTACTACCCTCTTTAATGATATCATAACCCAGAAGCATACTGAAGCAAAACAATTCATAAAGCATAACAAAATTTAGCATATTTTTGTTTTGTTCATTAAGCGTTTGTGTAGAAGAAATCTTGCATATCTTGAATTTTCTTACAAAAATCGCACAATCTCCTCCACGCATTTTATACCCTTTCACGACGATAGGCTCCATATGGAGCCCTATTATGTAATACCTTTCAGGACGATAGGCTCCTTTTGGCACCAATATTTTTATTCATATACATCAATGAAATGACAATATCTCCAGTTCTATGCAGTATTTTCACATCAATTCTTGACAAGTTGTTCTAATGTGATAATCCTTACTACAAAATTGTATTTCAGTGATAAAATTCAAGGTATAGGTCCTGGGGCATAGGTTATTTGCAGTTTCCCCTAAAAACCGCTCTTACTTATCCGTCACCAGGGCCAACATTTTCCTTTTATATTCACGTCGTGAAAGGGAGAAGAGGGAATAGTCCAGAATCCATGTAGATCTTATTCTATACTACATTTCCTGTCAATATCATGAAGCTCAGAGGTTTTGCGCTACACGGTGTAACATCATCCAACATGAACCATAATAACACGTGTGATTCTCAACAGTTTAATATTGTGTCTCAGCGGCACTAATTATAAATATGTTGATACTAGCATTTGAGGATTGCCGTTAACTGGATTTACGTTACACACATGCATTGGCAATTTGCAATTTCAACGTCACCATTAACAGAAGGCATATAAGATGTAAATGGATGTAATAGACTTTGTACCGTTAGGAATACTCGTCTAGGTTATAAAAGCATTTGGTGGATTTGTGACAGGTCGTATCCACTATAGAGGAATAGGTGAGGCAAAGGACTTTGAATTGGCGAGGCAACACTTAAGCCAAAGAAAATACAAATATTGGACGTGATTTTCAGTTTCTGTCGGAAAAACGTCGAAAAGTATATATTTGTGTAAAACTTTGGAGAGGATATTACCTCGCCTGACTAAATCTGACTGAATCTCCGAGCTAACGCCTTAACTATGAGGCCGGGTCTGAAACACGGATTGGCAATTCGGAACCTGAGTCTCCTGGTGTATTAGATAATATGTGTTGATTAACAATGAAAAACCTGCCATTTTGTAAACAGGAGTGACTTCTTCATGATGTTTGAGAGAACAAATGCTCCGAGTGATCTACGCGCGAGTTGGGGAAAAAATGATAAGAGTATCGTTCACATCTTGATAATCTCTCCAATATTTATGTTCACAAATAGCTAAGCTTAGACTATTCATACTCTGCTTCTCTAATTTTTCAGTTGTATCTTGAGTGTGGAACTATACCTTAAACAACACATTTTGTTCGATGTTCTACAATAAATGTAAAGAAACATAGAAGACATCTTGAGGTTAACGAGCAGTCACGTCAAAAACCCATCAGAGAGACATATAATCACAGACGTACATGTGCTCGAATGATGAGATTAATTTTTCATTTCAATAGAGGTACATGACAACCATATTTATAGGAACAAAGGCCGATGTGATGGTGTTATTCTAGTAAATGAGGATTAGCCTCCTAAGTATAAGCCGAAGTGGGATTATGGTGTCGCCGGGAATTAGTCATATAAACAATACATTAACTTCTACTGCCTTTAACGATGTCTTAGACCCAAGTGACCTTTCCACCAATGCTACGGATATTAAACTAAGCGAACATGATCACTTCATTATGCTGTTCCCCTACAAGGCATTTGTTAGCATATTAGCCTATCTTGGGCTTAACATTTCGATTTCATTTGGGGCAAATTTTCTGCTGATTGCTATTATTATTTTCTCGCCAAGCCTACGTACCCCACCCAATGCTCAGCTTATTAGCATATGTATCAATAATGTCATTGTTACCATAGCAATGGTGTCAGGTGTCGTTTCCTTAATAACCAGCAAAGGTGAGAGAGAACCTCGCGTTTCAAATGCGTTGATAATACTGGGGGAAATCCAATTATTTATCATTACGGCGAGTATGTTACTTTACTTAGTAAGCTTTGCTGCAATCGGGGTATACCGACTCAAAACAATTAAAAATCCCACAATGTCGTTACGGGCCCGCCGCCAGATTATTCAACGTTCCATCATATTTGGTTGGGTGGTTGCTGTTATCATCGCCGGTATGGTTGTTTTGACGTATGGCGATGGACCTTCCACGTTAAACATGGTTGTATATGTTAATAAACTATACGTCTCGGTCAATGGCCAGTCCAGCTATACGCGCAAGTTCGTAGTTATTTTTGTCTTGATTTGCATTGTCATTGGCTATGGTGTGATCTTCCATGCGTATCACAGAATCATCAGTGTGAAGTTTTCCTGCTACACTATATGCGAGAACCGAGTTGTACCCGGTGCTGTTGATCACGATGACTCCAGCGTTAGCTCGGATGAACAACCGTACTCTGTTGAGCCACGGAGGGCTTGTCAAAGCTACATAGCGACATCAACAAACAACTGGACGGCGCCGTTTACAGTCTCAAAAGGGGGACTAGGAGTTCAACCAGGTGACAACCTCGTTGCGCATTTCCATCGCCCTTCACAGTCGATAACGTTCCATGAAGAGGCATTGGCCCTTGAGAACCCGATAGAAGCCAATAAGGCATGCGCACGAGCGGGGGACTCTGATTGGCATCCTCCTCATCAACCGCTCCAAGCACGACAGAGTAACACCAGTAATCATTCCACCCAAACAAGACGACCGTCTCCTGACTTCACTGATATTTCACCGGGAGCAGAGATAGTCCGTTTTCGGAAGCTGAAAAATAAAAATGTGCTTAGAAACTATTCATTGAAACGAGATCGAACAAGTTCAAATGGAGCAACAAAAAACAGTTTAATTATGTTATTGATGCATTTTCTGCTTTCGATGCCTCTGATCATTTGTATGATCCCAGATGCCTTATCGCATTTAGACCTAAGGGTCCGAATCTTGTGTTTAGTATCTTGCAAATTGTTGTATTTCCTGAACATACCTATGTTTCCCTTGTGGTATTTGATATTTAGCAAACGGGTGAAATCATGCTTCTATAGATTTTATGAGAACACTCTTGCTAGGTTAAACAGACAATAATCAATTAAGGCGTTGTTGCATTGTTTTGAAATCTCGTTGGAATGTTGTTTTCATCCGATCTACTACACCGTGTAATGTGTGAAATTTTCTGCGACGTGCGTGTTGAGCTTCCTGGTCAACTCAACCCCAAGTCAACTAAACCCAGGTCAAGTCAACCCATAGTCAACTCGACCTCAAGTCAAGTCAACCCTTAGTCAAGTCGACCCCAAGTCATCTCAACCCTTAGTCAACTCGACCCCAAGTCATCTCAACCCTTGGTCAACTCAACCCTTAGTCATCTCAACCCCAAAGATTTTACTTGTTTTTTAAGGCTAAAGTAATTTGTTAGATATTTTGATTGTTTGTGCAGTTTTGATTTAAAATCTTACTTCAAAAAATAAATATTTCTGTTACAAATAGATCAGAAAGAAGATTTGAAATGGATCATCACATCTCAATCTGATTGTTTATGACATATGAGTAGGATAATGAAAAACATAAATCCCATTTTTGTGCAGATTTGATTTAAGATCTAACATCATAAAGTAAACATTTCTGTCACATCTAAATCAGATGGAATTTGAACTGGATCATGAAGTCTTGTTACGTTATGTGATATAAACCTTGTTTACAAATATAAAGTAAATCATTTATATTTGTTTAACTCTTCATATTTATGGAGGAAATAAAGAATTAACAATCAAAAAACAAACATATGAGTAGGATAATGAAAAGAGAATAATATATTGTTGAAATTTTTATTGCATGCATAGGATTTGATCCTAAATGTTTTCAGATTAACTAGCAACGATTCCGATTTAACATAAAAGTGTATAGAATAATTGTCTTTACAATTGTAATTTTTAATTACAGAGAGATAAAAATGTTTCTCTTGGAGCAAAAGACTAACTTTTTAATTAAAGAAAATTAGAAGTGTTAAACATAAACTTCTCTAGATAAAACCAATATAATTTTTTATTCACCTTACTTTTTTACAATCTATAAATTCGGAAAACAACTTAACATTTCATTCATATCTTTCTAATTTCTCCCTAATTCTTTCACAATTCATCAATATCATAAAGGTACATCTAATTGTTTCATAGATATGGTTGGGTTAAGTTGACTAAGGGTTGAGATGACTTGGGGTTGAGTTGAGTAAGGGTTGAGAATTTTGAGATGACTTGGGGTTGAGTTGACTAAGGGTTGAGATGACTTGGGGTTGAGTTGACCAAGGGTTGAGATGACTTGGGGTCGACTTGACTAAGGGTTGACTTGACTTGGGGTCGACTTTATTAAGGGTTGACTTGACTTGGGTTGAGTTGACTTGGGGTTAAGTTGACCAGTTACCCGTGTTGATGGTAGTTGGACTCAGATCTAACTTCTGTTTTAACGTTTGGAGCATTCCGAGGATATAACTTCAAGCAAGACGTAGAGTCTGACTTCATTAAGGGATAATCCCTCGATTTTTAAGGATATCTGGCAAAATTTGAATATTAGTATTCAATAAGTTCTGTATTTGATCAGATAAGACCTCAATTAACTTTTCAGATAATAAAATTAGGATTGTAATGAAACAACGGAATTGGCCATAGGTCACCATGTCAGTATGTGACTAATGTAGAGAGGGGCGCTATTACTTGTGACATCGATATTCCTCCTACACTGGACCGAACCTGGGATATTGTGGAAAGGGAAGTCTTCTTTTGACGTCTGTTTAAATATTGCACCACCTAAAACTTGCTCAAATTCACTGGAGAGGGGAACCTCCAATTAATGTTACGTGTCTAGGAAAGAATCATCGTCGGTTTCCATGGTCAATTATTGCGTTATACGGGTCCAAAGCCGCTGGTGAAGCAAAATGGTGACAGTTAAATGCCTTATCGATCTGTCAGTCAGATCATAGTGAGGCATAGGATAAATAGAACAGTATGGTTACCTTCTTTACAGTTTTGTCGAGCTACTTATAGAAAAACTCACTGAATCATGTAAATAAAATGTGTATGAAATGTCAAACTAACCAAATATATTGTACAGTTATTGTCTTATAAATTCTCATTAATTAAAAAAGGAAAGAGTTACTTTATTAAAATTATTTATGAACAAGACTAAAACAGAAAACACTCTCCGCTGGACAAAACTGTTCTTTAAGAATGACGTTTCAGAGAGTATCTATATTTGCTCAAAGTGAACACTGCAAGCGTTATTCTCGAATCAAATTGCAATACCTTTAGAAGTATTCGTCCAGTAATTGTGTCATTCAGCAATACGCCATGCCACATGTTCATTTCCACAAGTAAGAACACTATACTATGCTGAATTTCGCTCCAAAACTTGAGATGGATAAATGTGTCAAAATTTCCCACGGTCTTCCTTCTGCCTGAGATTAGAAAATCACATTTTTTCTCTCAAGGGTAGCATGAGAAAGGACGTGACAAGAACCTTCAGAATCTTGACATATCTAACAAGCGGTTGACGTTGTAGACAGAGATAGATTGTTCATTACTAATTTGAAGTTTGTTCGAAACTATTCAATAGCACACTTATAGATGGACCAAACAATTAGCAATGTGTGAAAATAATTTATGCCCTAAACTCCACCTGTCATACATTCAAGTTTTCATACGCTGATCGTGGAATGCCACCCAGTGACCACAAACTGCCAAGCACCAACCACCAAACACAATCCACAAAAACTTGGATAACATAACAATATGTGACGATCATATTAAAACACTCTGAAGCGATATAATTTATTCTTTGAAAACATCTACAAACTACATAGTAGCCCGGACAGAATTGTTCAATGGTCACTTTTTCTTTAATAACTTTTTCAATTTTCAGTATTATCATAGTCTGATCACATATTTGAAAACTAGAGTAAAATTCTGACATACAAAAAAATATTTAAAGAACATCTCTTTATTTATTGATATTATAGGCGTTCATAGTATGACTGACGCAAATACATAATTCATAATTTTGCCTCATATTTGTTCAAAATGGCGGCATATTTTGTGAATTTGAATGTTTAGTTGAAAGTTAATATTTAAAGATTTTCATAAAGGGACTATAGGGCCATGCTGTCACCATTACAATCCTGATGTAATGCAGCAGCAACTGACCATTCATCAAATACAAGAAATTAACTCATTCCGAGGGTATATAAAATCAACTCTATTAAAATGTTCGGGGTTGTGTTCAAGAGGATTTGAAAAGGTGGCGCCCCAATGTGCGGGGTGTGATTCAAGAAGGTCCTCAATCTTTTAAAGAGCTCCAAACAGCCATCTCAGAGGCCATTGAAAAGCTGAAGAACAATTCACATGCATGGCAAGGATGGGTTAAGAGGCGTGTGACTGGGAAAGACATTACAAACTGTGGCACTGTGACCCTATAGTTGCACAGGTTAAACGAACTAGGGTTGCTAATCCACTACGAGTAACAATGGAATGGCCAAAAAACTTAAAGTCCTGCGACCCTACCAATGGTCCAATATACTGTACATACAATGTACAAACCTTCTTAAGTACTGGTATACATACCAGTCAATTTAAAACAAAGGGTTATAAATGCAGTCATTACCTATTACCAAGGCAGCAGACTACATGATTTCGTAGGCCTATGCCATTTCTTAAATATTAACTTTCAACTGAACATTCAAACCACAAAACAGCCGCCATTTTTGAACAAATATGATACAAAATGGTGAATTATGTATTTGCGTCACTCATACTATGAACGCCTAAAATATCAATAAATTAATAGATGTTCCTTAAATATTTTTTATGTATGTCAGAATTTTACTCTAGTTTTCAAATATGTAATCAGATTTTGATAATACTCAAAATTAAAAAAGTTATTAAGAAAAAGTGACCATTGGACAATTCTGTCCGGGCTACTATGATATTATAACAGTTTATTATTAGCCACTTTTAACTATTTTAGATAACTAAGCATACTGGCTGCCCCTCCCCCTTGGGTGGGCCCACAAAAAAATTGGGCCCAAAAAGAGTGGGCCTTTTCGATCATTACTGGGCCTTGCAAGGCCTTATTTTTAATTTCAGGCCAAATTTTCAAGAAAATGGGCCTCAAAATTTGGGCCCACTTTTCGGAAATATGGGGCCCAAAATGTGTTTTTTACCCTAACTCATGCAACGATTTGGAAACAACATCTTCTTGGAATGGTTCAGCACATAATGCCCAAGGCTTAACTCCTTAACTGTTTTCTTTAAAAAATATGAAACGTCATGACTGGTTGTCTCCAGTGACGTGTGAAACTGTACGTTGTCGATGGTTAGACGTGATTATGTAAACAATCTTTTCAGAAGTGATCAACCGAAAAATTCAGTTGACAGAAAATTTCGTGACAGAGTTTGATGGTAAAATAATTTCGTGATAGCTTAGTCGACGTCATAAATGCTTGACCAAAATGGAAGTTTCTATCGTATCTGCTAAAACTTCGAATAAGAAGACTTTCATCGGTAAAAAAGGTAAAATATTCGTGTTTAATAGCATGTTGTAAAGCACTCAATAAAAGGATTATGAAAATGTTGTGTTATGGCCACAGCTTTGATTTTGTAGTTGGATTGAAAATGTTGCATTTTTTCGTGGGTGATAATTGAGGAACGTACTAAAAACCCTTCGACCCTACGACTTACAGGGTGTCAAGAATTTTATAATATATTTTTATAAAAAACCTTCGACCGACCTTCAATTTCTCAGTCTATTTGAAGTTGCTTGGCTGGAGTTAAGGTCAGGGTGCATGACGGGAAATTTTCTGCAGTCCTCAATTGAGTCACATGTTATTTTTCAAACAAGAATCACTCCTTCCCTTCATTGTCTATATCTTCCAGTTTTGCACAAAGAGTGCACTTATGTGCCTAGAAAAGACTTGTGAGAAGAATCTTTTGATAAAGTGTATAAAAAACAAGAAAATTCAGTGAAAAAAATCAGAAAATTTTCAGAAATTTTTTTCACTGAATTTTCTCATTTTTTATACATTTTACAAAACAAACCTTCTCACAAGGCTTTTCTAGGCACAGAGGTGCACTCTTTGTGCAAACTTGGAAGATGTAGACAATGTGGGGAAGGAGTTATTCATGTTTGAAAAATAACATGTGACTCAATTGAGGAATGCAGAAAATTTCCCAACATGCACCCTGTCCTTAAATAAGTAAGCCAAAAAAATATTGGAAAAAGTAGAGTCAGTACGTCTATTTCCAAACACCCCCATCAAAAAATGTAGTTAGCTTGGCTGTACTGCACATCTATGCTATGATTCTATATATATTATGTGTATTATCCACTGTAGAATGCATTTGCAGAAAAAATTACGAAAAACTGTAAAAAATATCTGGGTTATTCCATTTTTACTACAAGGTATTTTAGGGGGGTAATTCCGAACAGGAGTTTTTTGGGGGGGTAAATCCGAACACTTGCATGGGGGTAATTCCAAACACTTAACTTAAACTTAATTGTTTTAATTATTAGATTGATGGCATATCATTATATGATACCCTTAACTTATGGTACTGGATCCTGTCACCCCTGCATATCAAGAAACCCAAATTTAAATCATTTATTACTGACATCTATTTATTTAAACGCACAGAGTTTGTGGGGGTAATTCCAAACACTAGCATGGGGGTAATTCCGAACACCTAAAGCATCATAATTGATTATTTTATTGTAAGATTGTTGGTATACATCATTATATTGTATCTTTTAGGATATAAATATTATGTAGAGGTATTAGAGGTACTATTATTCAATTCAATGATCTGCTTGCCATTATTTGGAACCCGTTCGTGTTTACCCCCCTGTTTGGATTTGGACGTATTGACTCTACATTGATATTTCAAGCTGTTTTTCTTGGCTAAGAACGTACTCCAGCAAATAAAATAAGATATGATAGTCTAAAATCACTTGCCATTATGCATGTAATCTTTTAAACGATATTGGTCCAAGGATACTTTTAGTTATTGTCTGGACAGACAGATGGATGTGCGTACTTAGAATTTTGATGCACATCAAATTGTCCACTATTTCTGATTCTGATAGAACGAAATGCGATTTCTACATTCAGTTTTTTCTGATTTGCTTAAGATTTTGCAAGCACCCGCGGTACTTACTCACCTGGCGTATTGAAACCTTTGGAAAATCAATGATTGTGAGTCTCGCAGTACACCATTTTTCTTCAAACTTGTTCCATTAAAACCTTCGAAGAAATACCTTTCACTCGAGACATTGCTTTTGTGTACAGAGTCACTCGTTTTAGCGGCGTTTTGGTCTCCAGATTGGTCTCCCATTACAACCATCCATCTCTGCATCAACATATTTCCAAAAGTCCTACGTATCTGTTCGAAATTGATCAAAACGCCCCGTTCTCTTCCAAAACGCCCCGTTGGAGCTATATACCTTATCTATACACATTTGTAGTCATAGACTCTGCGGGGCGTTTTCGGAGACAATAGGGCGTTTTGGTCAATTTCGAACAGTTGCGTAGGACTTTCCAAAAATGCTGCGTTTCATATAATAAATATGTTGATGCAGCGATGGAGGGTTGTCATGGGAGTCCATGCGCAGAATATGGGGGAGAGTGATAGAAGAACTGACGAGATATCAAGGATTGTGGTTGAAATCTCTGAGGATTTGCAACTTCTCACATCTGGGGACCAAAACGCCGCTAAAATGATGGCTTTGTATACAAAGGCAATGTCTCACTGAAAGGTATTTCTGTGAAGGTTTTAATGGAACAAATTTGAAGAAGAAGGGTGTACTGTGAGATTCACAATCATTGATTTTCCAAAGACAGGGTAAATTTGAAATTCAAATTAACGGTTTTGTGGGGCGTTTTGGTTTCGATACGCCCCGGTGAGTTAGGACCGCGTGAAGCAAAGGGACGCAAAACAAATAATCTAATTCTTATGGCCTAGTCTAAATTAGTTTGTTTGTTCATTATGTTTGGACATAGAAGATAATCATTCATTTTCAGTTATTCATGTTTTTTATTGTCAAATATAGAGAAAAGTACATGCCCATTTATTATGAGAATTATTTCTTAAATTATTGGTAAATTAAGCTTTTTAATGGTGTATAAAACTTTGTAATTGGTCTTATATTTCTAGAGATATCGTAATTTGAAAAACATGTTTTTCAGCGGGATTCTTTTATTCCTTGCGCAATTCAGCTTCACACAGGCTAGGGGTAGATTAATTAACAATTCTTTGAAGTGACAATGTTTTTACATGTACAAACCTTCCTATTCATAAATATTCATATCGTCATAGTTACATTTCCTTTTATGACCAGAGATTCTAGAGTTCTCACGATTTCTGCTAAGTCAACCATCATATTTGTTATGTGTGTGGGGTTGGTGTAAAAAAACAGTAACAAGAGGACTGGGTACCAACTATGTTTCAATTGAAAGAGTCAGTACATACAAAACATTTAAGATACACATTTAAATAGATTAAATAACCATACTCAAGTTGGAACTATAGGTAATCATGTATAAACTAGAAAACATGACTGGGAAATCAGTGGTTGAAGGGTTTTTCAATAAAATATATTCCAAAAATTCTTAACACCCAATAAGGGGCGAAGGGTTGTCGGTCGAAGGTTTTTTAGTACATTCTGAGTATTGGGGATTTAGGTCAATGAAATAACCAAACTTGCTGTTATTTTCGCCATTCCCAGGTGTGACGTCATAATACAACACATTACGTGTACATAGATTCCTGGAAGCAGATTGAATAGAGCATGGTTGTGCCTGTATGGAGAAATAATACATTTAAACATTCAATATTGGCTTTGCTGCATTCTGATTGGTTCAGAAATTAAAATAGAGCACTGTCATGTTTGAATCATAAATCTTTACATTTTCAGGTATAAGGAGAACTGCTCATCAGATTCCAGAGGAAATTATCAATGATGTGCAATTAAATGATGCTATAAAACAGGTGGGTAAATATTACCAGTAATATGAGTCAGATCACAAAAATGTGAAAAATACATGTACAGTAGGTAGAACAAAACAATAACTTACAATCTTGGATTGTCAAGATATAGACTATCAAACATTTTACTACTAACAGAGTTAATAAACCTGTTTATGCCATCATATTCACTGGTACCTAATTACGCTTCGGTTTCGGTAAGATATTTTTATTTCTCGATTCTACCTCACTTAGAAGTCAAGCTGTGGACAATAGTTTTGCTCAAAGTTTAGGAAGATAAGTCTAGATTGAGAATATGCAGGCGGTTCTATGTTTGGTATATTAACGAAGACGCAATTCACATATTTAGTCCCTCGCTTTCGTTACGTTGATGATCTTCATGAATATTGTCACATTGACGTATCGTCAGCGTAACTAGGTGAGTACCAGTGATATTTGTTATTGCTGTTTGTCACAAACATTTTGTCATGTTAGCAGGCCTGTCAATTGTCCCGCAATTTGCGTATTTGTCACGCATTTGCTGAAGAATTTGAAGTCACGCCAGTTTGTTTTGCGTGACAGAAAATGTCCCGCAAATATGCATTTTACTTTGTAATTGTCAAGCAAAAAGGTGAGGTGTTCAAAAGTTGGCAAAATGCAATAAAATTTAAACCAAGGTGTTCAAAATTTGGATCAAGGTGTTCAGATTTGGAGCAAGGTGTCCACATTTTGAGGGGAGGTGTTCAACATTTCCAAGTCACTCATGTTAGGTGTTCCCAAGTTGACAGGCCTATGTTAATGTTTCATGTTATCTTAGTTCAATTAAAATGTGAACAAAATGCTTTATTGATTTTCAGCTTGTATGCAGGAAGAGATAGCTTTTACACTTTTTCTAGGTAGTAACATTTTGTTTTACATGTTATTTATTTGTTATTTCAGCTGCCAAGCAATTACAATTTTGAAATTCACAAAACTGTGTGGAAAGTCAGATACAACAAAGCTAAGAAAGGTGAGTTGATTTTGAGAGGTAAATGAAGGGCAAGTTAATTAAGGACATGTTTATGAAGAGCAGGCAATAAAGGGCATATGTGAAGGGCATGTGAAGGACACATTAATGAATGGCAAGTTAATAAAGGGCATGTTCATCAAGAGCAGTTAATTGAGAGCAGGCAATATACATGGCATGTAGGTCAGTGAAGGACACATTAATGAATGGCAAGTTAATAAAGGGCATGTTCATCAAGAGCAGGCAATATATGGCTTGTAGGTCAGTGAATGGTATGATAATGAATGGCATCAATGAAGGGCATGTTAATTAAGAGAGGGCAATAAAGGGCATGCAGGTCATTGAAGGGCATGTTAATGGAGAGCGGGCAATTTATGGCATGTAGGTCAGTGAATGGTATGATAATCAGTGGCATCAATGAAGGGCATGTTAATTAAGAGAGGGCAATAAAGGGCATGCAGGTCATTGAAGGGCATGTTAATGGAGAGCGGGTAATATATGGCATGTAGGTCAGTGAATGGTATGATAATGAATGGCATCAATGAAGGGCATGCTAATTAAGAGAGGGCAATAAAGGGCATGCAGGTCGTTGAAGGGCATGTAAATGGAGAGCAGGCAATATATGACGTGTAGGTCAGTGAATGGTTTGATAATGAATGGCATCAATGAAGGGCATGTTAATTAAGAGAGGGCAATAAAGGGCATGCAGGTCGTTGAAGGGCATGTTAATGAAGAGCAGGCAATATATGACGTGTAGGTCAGTGAATGGTATGATAATGAATGGCATCAATGAAGGGCATGTTAATTAAAGGCCATGTAGGTCAGTGAAGGTGAAGGGTATGTTAACAAAGGGCAGGTCAGTTACATGAAAATAGATGGCAACCTTGTGCTAGGTTAATTTTAGTGAGATGACATTTCAATCAATTTACTGCAGATATTGACAATAATCATTCAAATTTTTATTTCAGTGGCATTACAATTTCCTGAAGGACTCTTACTGTTTGCTTGCCCGATAGCTGACATCATTGAAAGGTGAGACAAGGAAATATAAAAACGTGAAAATATTTTTGACTTTTTGTGAAAATATTTGTTTATACTTTTTAAAGAAAGGTGCAGGTTGATTGGAAATTATAATGGATAGAGAGTGTAAATTTTTGGAAGCAATATCAAAAATATGTTTTCTTTACAATCCTTATTAGGTTATGTGAAAAAAGATATCTGATTAGTTGAAGTTATTGAAGATGTTTTAAGATGCAGAAATGTCCAAATTTATTTATTTATCCATTATTTTTTACCAGGTCACCTTAAAAATTGTGGAATTCAGTCAGAATAAATACTTTTATTGGAGAGAAAAATCTAAAGATTATTTTTTATTTAGCCTAGAAGGTGACAGTTAAACTCATAGGTTCTGGGCCGATATAAAGATTGCAGCACCAACAGAATCCATCAAAGAGAATATTTATAAACACAGATCGATTACCATGCCATCTTTATTTAAAAAAAATTATTTCTATTGACCTTTGCCTATGGTGAAACTAAAGAAACATTCAAGGGATATACAATACATGTACATGTCCATAAAGATAAAACATGTAGCGGCATTAATGTTGGGTAATTTACACTTCACTTTACATATTGAAAGTCTTCTTCCTTTGCAGATTCACTGATGCAGAAACTGTCATTATGGGAGATGTTACGTATGGCGCTTGTTGCGTTGATGATTTCACTGCCAGAGCTCTGGGTTGCGATATCATGGTGCATTATGGTCATAGCTGTTTAGGTTGGTTTCTGTCTTAAGTTCCTTTGCACTAATTAAATAACAAGTTCTGTTTAGAAGATCACTGTTAAACGGCAATTTTGTTAAATTAAAACTTAATTTGTGTAATTGTTGATAAGCAGTTGTATGGGCCAATGTCCTATGGGAATTGGATATCTTTGTGAACCAAAGACTATGCTGGACTATGGTCAAGAAAGTATTGCAAGATGAATGCTTAATTTCAAATAGCCAGTATTTATCTGGAGAAATAAAAAAAATTATGACCATAAAATACCAATTGTTAGATTTGGTCGAGTTTTGTCCAGACATCACATTTTCTATTTCCAGTGCCCATTGACAGGACAGAAGGTATCCAAATGCTCTACGTGTTTGTTGATATAAAAATCGACACCTCACACTTTTTGAAAACTGTTCAGTATAACTTCGAACCTGGAACTTCGTTAGCTCTAGTCAGTACCATCCAGTTTGTGGCAGCTCTGCAAGTGAGTCAAACATCTGCTAAAGTTTATGCCTCCATTATTAGAGAGTACATATTATCGAACAGTTTGCTAGGTTACTTACCAGATTTTCTCGCATATAAGCCCTGGGCGTATAACTGAAAGAAGGGGTAATTTCGTCTGTTATTTTACCTCTTATTTTTTGCCCATGGGCGTATAAGTGTACTACTTTCGATTTTTGGCCCAGTGGGCGTAAAGGTGAGAAGAGCGTGGGCATCAGCCATCTTCCTCAAAGACTACCGTACCTACTGTTGTAGTCCTACCGCATGTTTTGTAAGAATTATAAAGGAAATGTCACCTACAACATTGGACTTAATGTTGAAACAAAGTAACAACAGAACGATCCACCACTGCCACTTACGGCACAGCGTTTAACTTAATGTTGAAACAAAGTAACGACAGAACGATCTGCCAGTGACAAAATACTCTTGAATTTATTGAAAAAATCAATAAATAGTCATTTTTTATAGGCCCATGGGCGTATAAGCGTACTACATTTGATTTTTGGCCCATGGGCCTAAATTTAGGGGGGCGTATATGCGAGAAAATCTGGTACATTAACACAAAGAGGAACTTCAGTTTTGGTCTCCCCATCATTAATGCAGTGAAGAATATGAGCCTGACCCTCCAAGCGATTAGCAAGTGATTTGGGTCGTACTAAAAATGAACATTCACAAAATGGCTCAAGATGAAGCCAAATTCTTCAGGTGAAGGGAAAAGCATGGCTGATATTGAAATGGTGTTTTTTGCATTCTTAAGGAATCGCCAACTTAAAAAGAGAAGCGGGACAAATTTGGTCTCGAATCCGCTAAAATTTTAAAGAAATAAAAATCAACAAATTGGTAAAATAAGAATCCAAGTTTTGGTACAATAAAGATATTACACTGCTAATTTTGAAAAACAATTCTTAACAAATTGCTAATATCTATGATATCAGTAATCACTTATGTTACCAATATATCATGATTTCTTCTGTGATGAAAAGTGGCAGAATTAATTGAAAAGGTCCATTAAGAACAGATTACCCTTTTGAAATAATGTATACTTTTATTGTATGTACAAGTCATTTATTGTGTACATGTCTCTGATTTTCAGTCAGCTAAAGAGCATTTCTCAGGTGATTATACAGTTACAATACCTCAATGTAAGCCTCTTTCTCCAGGAGAGATTCTTGGATGTACATCGCCACGACTACCAGATCATGTCACAGCATTAATGTAAGTGATAACTTTTTGAAACTGTAATAATGTTTCACCAGATCAATATTCCTTGAAGTGAAGTAGAAAGAAGCGACCACAACAAACAAGTTGAGGATAAACATCTTTTGTTCTCATTCCATGCTCAACATTTCTGACTTTATCAATAATTATCTTATTTATAAGGCAGAAAATTTCAGTTCATGAATTTGGATCAAGATATCTCACTTCTTTTTCAAAAAATAAAATAAGGATTGGAATGGAATGTAAACATTTCAACTTAGTGGAACCAATTTCTCCAAATTTGTAATTGTTTACAATCAGAACTTTATTATTTTGTATGTTAAACTATTTGGAATCCATATTTTACCTGGATTAGCTGAAATCAATGGTTTCTTGATATCGATCAAAAAAATTTTGTCCACCATCTTGGATGATGCTAACTCCAGTTATTATCATCCTGCTGTTAACCAGGAATAATAAGCATTATGTGCAATTCTTTCAGATATCTAGGGGATGGTAGATTCCATTTAGAGTCTGTTATGATCATGAATCCAACAGTCAAGGCATACAGGTATTTAAAAAGAATGTTGTGCAATGTACAGAAATTGAGTAAAATGTACCTGTTAAGTGGGATGCTGTCTTCAAGTGGAACATCTCCCAAGTGGAACACTATTTTAGTGCCAAAGGTGTACTATTTAAACAGGTTTAACTGTTATACATGTATGGATGATCATCTAAATATCATGGTTTGAATCACAGTATTTTGATCGGTTAATAATGAAGTATCATGTCATCTAAAATACCACAAGATATATATCAATGTACCACTGTATATAGAAATATAAATAATTTTATATTTCTGTTCATAGGTATGATCCCTATTCAAAGATTTTCTCAGAAGAATTCTATGAGCATGATAAGATGAAGGAGAATCGGCAAAAGGCAATACAGGAAGCAACAGTGGCAACAAAGTTTGGCCTTGTGCTGGGAACTTTGGGAAGACAAGGCTCACCTAAAGTACTTTCGAACCTTGAACAGCAATTAAAGGCAAATGGGAAGGATTATATTATCGTTTTACTGTCAGAGATTTTTCCTGATAAACTGGCTCGATTTGATGATGTTGATGCTTGGGTGCAAGTGGCCTGTCCGAGGCTTTCTATAGATTGGGGAACAGCATTTAATAAACCATTACTTTCACCATACGAGGTAGGTCTCCCCTTGTTCAACCTATATAGTAGTACATGTACGAGGGTTGTTCAAGAAATAGAGGTTCTTGTATGAGTACCGATACAAGATTGTCCATTCTTGATGAGCTTTGATAATTCTTTATCGAGTCAAAGTTGAGATAAAGAAACATCAAAGTAAGTCAAGAATGGACGATATTGCAAAGGTACGAGTACAAGAAAGTTTTTCTGATAAATTATGCCATATTTCCATATTTTTATGATCAAACTGAGTGAAAATAGCTTCAGATCAATGGAACTTCATCTTTCAATTGGTATGACGTCATAACAATGTTGTAGAATATACATGGCTACGTGTGGCAACAAAGCCCTATTGTTATGACATCGCAACTTATTTTTGTAGAATGAGCATGAATACACATAGCAACGGTGTATCCGTTGTCATGTTGATGATGTTTATAAACAAGTGATGTCATAAGTAAATCTCATCTTGCACGTGTGACTTTTTAGGATGAAAGATGGCAATATCTTGTATGGGGTAAAGATGGCTGCATCTTTGTTAGTCATATGAGAAATGTTAATACAAATACTCTCATAATTCAATGTTAAATAATCCAAGTAAAATTAGTAGGCACTGTAGGCACTAGGCAATATGTATGTCTAATAGATACTGAACAAAATCACATGAGTTTATCTTTTATGAAGTCACAGTATATAGATTCATAAAAGGGATCAGCCCCAGCATTTAACCACTTTGGCTTGCACCCACCAGAGAAATCATTAAAACTCTCTGAAGATGTGAATTTCATACTCTTTCCTAAGTAATATCTTGGGGAGACCTCTGCTAGAATATACATTGAGGTCTTCTCTTGAAATATGTCTATTACAGGGCTTTACTTATTTCAGGCAAGTGTTGCACTAAATTCTTCAAAATGGGCAGACACATATCCAATGGACTACTATTCAAATAACAGCCTAGGGCCTTGGACAAATAACCATGAACTAAACAGACAGCGGCCAAAATCTCAATCTAAGGCTCAAATGACACCAAAAATGACTGTCTCTGAAATAACCAGTGTAGCTAAGCATATAAAGGATGATGCTTCTGAATCTGTTGCTGAATCCAAGTCATTTGATATGGAAGAACAATTGAAGGTGTCTCCATCTATATGTGGCGCTGGGAAATGTGATAATTGTTGACATCAATGAGATAATGTAGAAATAAAACTGATTTTATTTTAATATGAATCTTCAAATTAAGTGTATGTTATGTTAGAATGTCAAGAGCATAGTGCTTAGGTTCTGAGTTGGGAAACACATACCAAGTTTTCTTACTGATGAGATATAAAATACCACAAAAGTAGCTGTTATGGCCTTTAATGAGAGGTCCATTAAGAAAGGATGAAAGAACAACATTAAGTGAATGCTATTTTGATTTAATATTTCATTTAAACATTCAGAAGTTACATATTCAGTCAATAAAATCAAGTACTGTAGATACACTTAATTTGGCTTCCGTTTTAGAATTTGATGGATTGGCTGATTGTTATCTGCCAAATTAAAAATCCACCAATTTTCAGATCTATTTTGGAAAATCCTCGGGGAATTTGTAATTTGCAATTATTTCACTTGTGTAAGTGTCCCTATTTTGATGTCAGTGCTATACCAAGACTTACAGTAAGTAGAACATATGAATCTGAAATGCTTATTACCAGATCAATTATAAAAGTTGAGCTCAGTCCTGACTCCAAATAAATAGCCGCTAATATTTGAAATTGACCAAATCAGCCAAATAAAGTAGCGTCAAAATAAATGTATCTACAGAACTATAAAATGTTCAAATAATCAAATGTTCTGAATGATATCAATTCACATAACATATCATTTTAAGTGATTTAATAAACATGTTATATTTTAATTATTTTACAATATGTGAATAGTAGATGGGTGTTATATACTCCTATATAAAATAATACACCCCCTTACATAAGTATTGAAAATTTCCATTTTTAGAGTGGTGTATATGTATATAATACAGTGTATAAAGAACATGTACAATTTGTACATGTTATTGCACATAATTATTTAAAGGTAGATCTGCATACTGAGAATTTTATTTCATTTTCATGTAAATACTTACAAATTATGGTAGAATACATCCAGTAATATAAATGTTCAAGATAAAAAATGTTTCAAATCGATGATGATGACATTCTTGAGACATTTGGATCTACCTTATTATACATACAGTAGGCATTCAGGCCATTCTGGCTAAAATGAATGCTATCATCACTTTAGTTTTATGCAATTTATCATTACAAAATAGCACTGAAGAGGACTTTGTGATGGCGATACCATTTGATTTTTGTACAAACACAAATATTCTTTTGACCCTAGGAATTTGATTTCAATGATAATTTTACTCCCAAAATGTAAAACCTGATGAAGTCACAACAACTACAGTCTCTGTCTGGCTATAAGAAGGGTAATCTTTAGAGTTCTCTAAATATCCCTTCATTTTCTGTATTTTTTAACATATTCTAATGACATTCTCACACAATATGGAATTTACAAAGCCTTATTAATCCAGTAAAATATTTAACAAAACAGAAATATTTTTATTAAATGGTTTTTATAGTAGTCAATTAAGTTTTCTGGATTGATAAGTCTGTGTAGCAGAATCTGTGAAAATGTACAATATACCTAAAAAGTGAAAAATAGAAGGATATCATTAGAACTTTATGATCACCCAGTATAATATGACATCCTCTTGTCTACAAAGTATATCTAATTTTCCACTGTTTTGAGAATTAAAGACTACAAAACATGAGTATTTAACTTCATAATTGGGTTAAAAATTTAAAATAAAAAGACATGAACAGTAACACACACTTGTTGTTGCACTTGAAGAATGCTATAATTCGCCACCCCATATGGGGGTGGTTGGAACAAGAAATTTTGTCATCAAGATCGCATGAAAACCATATATCTGTGTGTCTTGTCCCTAAGATCAATCCAGGAATGTTTATTGAATTAAACTTGAGCAGTTCAAAAAATCTCCACTTAGATACTTTATAATGAGATGTTCATGTAATAAATAGGACAATCAACTCTTACTAAAATAACAATAAAATAAGTGCATGCATAAATAATATTCAATACTTATGCATGTAGTGTGTAAACTGTTTAATAAAACACTATTTTGTCATTTCGCAAAAACCACAATGGTGAGTTCTCATTTATGTTTTAGTTATTCCTCTAGATGTTATCATGTTCTAATCATGATTCTGCCACATGATATTTTAGATTTTGACATACCTGTAGGCCTATATATCATATCCATTGTGAATTTCAAATTCTCTAAACTAAAATTGTAAAAAGTTGTCTAGGTTAATGCTTTGACATTTAAAATATGATGCACAATAGGACTAAAATATAACACACCTGAGCATATAGTGAATTTGACCATACATAACATCAACAAAGGACAAGTCTTGGTTTGGAGAACAGTCTCCTGGGCTAATAATTCTTTTTATGAAAAATATAGAAATATCACCTAAATTATGAATATTCAAAAGAGTAAGATGTATAAATATCACAATTGCCCTAAGCAGGGATAACTGTGCTATAGACCGATTTAATAGAATACAAGTCTCAATTTGATGAAAAAAGTTCATCGGTGTACTGCGCTAATAATGTTTTATGAAAAATCTATAATTGTCACCCAAATTAAATTATAAATATTCAAAAGAAGACATTAGAATCTATATTATGTAAAAAATCAAAATTGTCCGAAGCAGGGATGACACTCAGTTAGAGCGATGAACTTCGTTCTCCAAACCAGAATAGTCCTTTGAGATATTGAACATAAAATGATGTTATAAAAGTGTTGGACAGTGGGTTAAATTTGTTAATTGTTTGTGTTGATTCATATCACTGCTTTGTCTTCAATGTGTTGTGCATATGCAGTAAAACCAGTCTAATTCAAATGTCATTGGGACCAGCCAAAAGTGAAAATTGTTCAGATTAGAGAGGTGATTGGATAAACAGGTTTTACTGTAATATATGTACAAGTGTATACTAGTGGTGATATCCTCAACATTAGAGCAACTGGGCTTGGCACCCTGACAAATTTAAAATTTCAAGTGAAAGTATTAAAATCTGGTAAAACAAAGAATGTAAAATTAGGACTTAAAAACTTGTTGAGAAAAATCTGGGGAGATCAGTGTCCGGTGCAAAAACTATTAGACATATGTGTGAGAACACATGGTCCCTGGATACTGGCAGTGTATATGATGTTTTGTGTGTTTAGTAAACAGCAGGACTATCGAAAAAATGCCAGCTTTTTCTTAAGCCACTCTTCAGTGAATTCTTCTAAATCTCTAAGTTCAAATGCCTGAAAGATAAAAAGTAAAATAAAAACATCACCATGTGAAAAGTTAAGAGAAGAGTTAAAACTATGATTTTTATCAAATCAATTCATTCCCAAATGAGTGGGATCCATAGATATGAAATAAATGAATCTAGAATCTGCAGAGAGGTTGGCAAAAACATAACAAAGGAATCCTTATGGAGAGCAACTAAATCAATATTCAAGCACTCCTTCCTTCTCTACAGATTTTAAATTCTTTCGCAGCATGATTTAACCAAAATGGTGTCATAATACAGGAAATCAAGTTAAGAGTATATTTGTCCAAAACTGTTTGAAATGGTGAAACAATAGACTAAATAGATATTCATGATTGGTCTAAAAATTCTTTAGAAACCCAAATAAGTATTGAATGATTTTATAAGTTGACAAAGAAATGTATGCCTGGGCAAGTTTTCTTCAAAATCTTTTAACCAGATAATTTTTACCTTTCATACTTTCCTTGGCAATGATTTACAATGTCAATGCTGATGAGATCTTAACAGCCTTAAATGGATTTTCCATGGGTGTTTTATCAAATATATATGCTGGATTCTAAATCAAAGTGTGAGATAACATCAAGCTTTATACCAAGTAAATCAATAAATAACCAAAATACCTTTGTAAGTTGGAGCGTGTTAACAAGTTCGAGCTTACTTCCAGCATACAACATATGTATCTCTGGCTTGCACCCTGCAATAATAAAGATGAGAACCGTGGGATAATGAATGATGACAATTGCAAACAAACGGTGATATGAATTGTAGAATTGATGAAAATTCTGGAACAATGAGAATTTCAGAAAAATCATAATGAAAATAGTGTAACTAGAAAACCAGCAAGTCAAGAGTGGAAGATCCCTCATACCAATCTTTCATTGAATAAAAGCCCACTCACAGCATTTATGGTTAAAAAATACATCACATAAATGATCTAAAGAAGTTTCCAAACCTCCATAGATATACAGGTTTCATGATCTTAACATTACAAAGCAGTATGTCCAAGTTAAGTTTAATGCCAGTAACAAAACATATTTATTTATCAGATCACTCCTCATTCCGAATATTTCATGATATGAATAACCAGGCAAAAGTCTCCTTTTAGCAAAGTCTACACTCATGACATGACATACGACGGTATATCATAAAGTTCTCATAATGATATGTCATGGGTGTATAACCTGAATTAATGCAATATTAACGTTTAAGAATAAAATGTCAAATAAATAAAATTAAATGGCAGCCATTTTGAATTTCATATGGTTAACCCTTTGAAAGTAACATGGTCTCCCATAGAGAAAGGTTATTTTTACTCAAAATGGGATCCATTTTGATTTGAGCATCCACATTAAAGGAAATCCTCCTTCAACAAAGGTCCTATCCCCATAAGGCCCCTGCCAATAATATCTTAGCCAAATAAGAACCAGAACAAATAGTTCACTTTATTGAGTTGAATACCTGTGCATTCAAATGTGAAGCAGGGGATCATCTTGTGAAAGTGTCACATGTATTCATTTTAAAGTGGAGTGAAATATTTGTTTTATTATATCACTGTCTGTCATTGTCCGTTGATTCCATGGCCATTTACGACGCTGCAGTCTTTATGTCTCACTTCACAAAGATTGTTATAATTTTGTATTCAGTTCACGTTTTACCACATTTCGCCTGTATCACTTCCAATACCTCCATCCAATCAACAAAAACTGAGATCGATCATTTAGCTGATTTTTTGTGTTACTGGTATGTACATTTTCAATTAATTTAAACTTCCTTCATAAGCAATACGTTTAAATCCTTTCTTTTATGTCATTTCGACTTACACTGAATGAAAGCAAATTCTTTGAAAATTCCCAGGGAGCGTGGGATATCGCTAGATATTCAATTGTTGTCTTATCTGATTAGCATGGGGCTATTGAATACAGTCAGATATTCCATGGCATGTGACCCAGTTTTGATCAATCATACAGTTGCTGGCTAGAGAGTAATCACGCGGTACTAACTCACCAGGGTGTATCTAAACCAAAATGCTCCGCAAAACCGTTAATTTGAATTTCAAACCTACCCTTTCTTTGGAAAATCAATGATTGTGAGTCTGTTCCATTAAAACCTTCATAGAAATACCTTTCATTCGAGACATCACTATTGTGTACAGAGTCACTCGTTTTAGCAGCGTTTTGGTCCCCAGATGTGAGAAGTTGCAAATCTTCAGGGATTTCAACCAAAAGCCTTGATATCTCGCCAGTTCTTTTATTTTTCTCCCTTAGAAACCCTAACCATGTGATAAAACATGATGATAATTAAAATTCAGCGCGGTTGAAATTAGAGCTGAATTATTTTATTTCTGATTGGTTTAACGTCCTATGTTATTGAAATCGAACGTGATTTGAAAAGCGTTCGCTTGAATGGTTACTGTTATGTATCTGGTTTCAGTACTGGTCATTAAGATATCTGATACCCTTAACTGAGATTACCATGCTTATAGCAGACACTTGTAAGTCTGGCTTCCTACTAGAAACACATTAACTATGTAGTTCTTATATTATGTTTGATGTATAATAAAGTCTTGATACAAAACACAACATGGTGTCAGATGTGGTCTCACATGAATAAGTAGATCAGAGACATTAACAATGGCAAGTGGATACTCAAAGATAGTGAAGGAATTAGACTTTTATGGCCCTAATCTCTCAGAAGATTGGAAGAGATGGAGAGAACTTATTGAATTAATGTTTGATTCTCCTGATGCCACAAAATGGAAAGAGCAAGAGAAAGCCGCTCAAATTCTCCTTCTTATCGGCGAGAAAGGAAGGGACATTTGCAGATCGTGGATTGCCACTGGGGTACTTTCGGAATCACAAAAGAAGGAGTCTAAAACCCTCCTTGATAAGTTTGAGGAATATTGTACGCCCAAGAAAAACAGGTCAATCCAGAGGAAAATGTTCTATGAATGCTACCAGTCGAAGGATGAGTCTATTGACGAGTTTGTTACAAAACTTAGACTTATTGGCAGAGACTGTAAATTCCCCGATCTTGACGAGATGATCGCCGACATGATATTGACACATTGCCATTCAACACAAGTCCAAGAGAAGCTACTAAGATACGAGGAGGACCTCACATTAGACCATGCTCTAAAGATAGCACGCTTATACGAGCAGAGTAACGTCCATAAGAACTCTCTAAATTCCCGCACAGAAAGTGGACATGGGGAAGTCAGTATTGTAAAGAAGTCGCAGTCACAAAGGTGTGACAACTGTGGACTTATACATAGAGGAGGCACATGTCCTGCGGCTAATGAGCAGTGTAACGGATGTTTAAAATTCGGGCATTTTAAAAGATGTTGCCGTAGTGGGAAATCTAGTGAAAAGGACTCTAGACAACGGAGGCAAGGCAAATCTGGAAAACGTAGAAACCCCCGAATAGTGAACCAGGTGGAGGAATCAGTATCTTCAGAAGATGAAGTGTACTTGGGATCTGTAACCACTGAAATCCCAGACACCCAGACATCAAAGATAGCCCAGATTCCCGCCAAAACCCCAGATATACCCAACTCAAAATCCTGGATTATACAACTAAAAACAGGTGGGCACACCCTTACTGCTAAGGTGGACACAGGTGCCCAGGCCAATGTGATCTCACATGCACTGTTCAAGAGGTTAAGACACCCCCCTATGAAAGCTTCTACCACAAGGCTATTTACCTACAACAGGCAGCCCCTGGACGTCATGGGTGAATGTGATATGCCTTGTAACTTTGAAGGGATAAACTACAAAGTGAGATTCATAGTAATTAAGGAGAAAGCTGACACTTTAATTAGTCTGCAATCAGCTATTCTCTTTGGCTTAGTATCCAGAAGGAACATTTCTACAGTTGGCTCTGACAGCACACTGACCACAGACCAGTTGGTGTCGAATTACAGCTATTTATTTGAAGGCCTAGGCTGTCTGCCTAGCAAAGTGCACATTACCCTTGAAGAAAATGTCACGCCTGTAGTACACCCCCCTTACAAGGTAGCTGTTCATCAGAGAGACAAATTGAAAACTGAATTAGAGCGAATGCAAAAACAAGGAGTAATTGCCAAAGTGGATGAGCCTACTGATTGGGTGAATAATATAGTTTTGGTTGAGAAGAGCGACAAATCTCTTAGGATATGCCTTGATCCTGCAAACCTAAACAAAGTTATTAAAAGGGAACCATACCCTACTGCCACAACAGAAGAGATCAGCACAAGATTGAAAGGTGCTACGAGGTTTACCAAATTGGATGCGACAACCTCATTTTGGCAACTTGAACTTGATCACGAGAGTTCGTTGCTTACTTGCTTCAACACACCCTTTGGACGATATCGATTTACGCGTCTGCCATATGGACTAAACATATCTACTGAAAAGTTCCAGATGGAAGTGTGTAAAGTTCTAGAAGGAATAGATGGCGTTGAAGTCCAAGTGGATGATATATTGATTTCTGGCAAAGATGAGGAACAGCTTAAGCATCGAATGGAAGCAGTGTTCCAAAGAGCAAGTGAGAACAACCTCAAGTTTAACAGGAAGAAATGCCAGTTTAATGTGCCATCAGTCACATATGTAGGACATACATGGTCGAGAGATGGACTGAGTATCCCGGATGATCGGATAAAAGCGATAGTTGAGATGAAAACCCCTACAGATAAACAATCACTGAGTCGATTCCTTGGCATGGTGAATTATGTTGCCAAGTTTGTACCACGCTTATCAGAGCTAAATGCTCCCTTGCGAGAACTACTGAAAGAGGATATTATATTCGAATGGAATAAGCCACAGATAGAAGCCTATGAGCAGCTGAAAAAGCTTATAACTACAGCGCCAGTTCTCAAGTTTTACGACCCCAATAAGCCATCAGTGCTGAATGTAGACTCTTCGAAAGATGGTCTTGGAGCTGTCCTACTACAGGATGATATGCCTGTATGCTACGCGTCAAAATCGCTCACCCCTGCCCAACAAAACTACTCCCAAATAGAGAAAGAGATGACGAGTATATGTTTTGGAGCAACTAAGTTTCACCAATACCTCTATGGTAAGCCCTTTGTCGTGGAAACTGATCACAAGCCCCTGGAGGTGATCGCAAAGAAAGCTCTAAATAAAGCCCCAGCTCGATTACAAAGAATGCTTTTGCAAATGCAAAAGTACGATGTCACAATCAAGTGGAAACCTGGAAAAGACATGGTTATATCAGACACTCTCAGCAGAGCATGTGTAGACAGTGACACAGAAAGCTCGAAAATTATTGCTTCTATCATGAACGACATTGATCGACAAGCAGATGGATTACTTCAAGCTTTACCCATGTCTAAACCAAAACAGCAAGAGTACAGGAACGCGACCTCGAATGACCCTGTACTGCAACGCATTATGGAATATTGCAGAATTGGATGGCCTGAAAAGACTGATGTACATGAGTCAGTCATGCCATATTACACCTTTCATGATGAACTTAGTACAGTTGATGGTCTCGTGTTCACAGGCCTGAAACTGGTAATTCCCACATCAATGAGAGACGAAGTAAAGTCGCTTATCCATGAAAACCATATGGGAATCGTTAAAACAAAATCCATAGCAAGAGAGACACTCTTTTGGCCCAACATGAATTCCCAGATCGAGGATATGATAAAAAACTGTGACATTTGCAAAACCCACAGAAATGCAAATCAAAGAGAACCTATGATTCCACATGAGGTTCCTATGCGCCCCTGGGAAAAGATAGGTGTTGACCTATTCTCACATAACAACAAGGATTACCTAATTGGAGTAGACTACTACAGCAAGTACCCTGAGCTGTACTCACTCACCAGCACCAAGGCAAAACCCATCATAAATTGCCTAAAAGCCTCGTTCAGCAGAAATGGTATTCCCCAAACAGTATTCAGTGACAATGGTCCACCATTTCAATCATCAGAATATGTAAAATTCAGCGAAGACTACAACTTCGACATTGCTACATCGAGCCCGAATCTAGCAAATAGCAATGGCCAAATTGAAAGGACAATACAGACTGTAAAAAATATTATCAGAAAATCAGATGATATTTTCACAGCCATGCTGAATTTGAGAAACACCCCAATTGATGCGAAGATCAACAAATCCCCAGCAGAATTACTTATGGGTAGAAAATTGCGATCTAAAATTCCTACAAGTGATGTTCTACTGAATCCCCAAAGCCCAGATCCCAACGTTCGCACAAAACTTCAGCAGAAAAAGCAGATGGAGAAGAGAAAGTATGACCTCCGCGCTCGTCCCCTTGCCCCTCTTCAACCTAATACCCCTGTCAAAGTCCGTGAGAAAAGGAACAATAAATACATCTGGAGAAATGCAACAGTGACTGAGAAACTAGATTCGCCCAGATCATATCTAGTTGAAACCCCAGATGGAGGACAATTTAGAAGGAATAGGAGACATTTAATTCCAGCATAAAATGTGTGAAATGACTGTCAATAATATAGTGTAGACCCAAGACTGGAAGTGAAATGGAAATATACATATTTGCAATGAAGGTCAAGGATAGACCAAATTAGCATATCAAAATAAACATTGTAGTAAGACTGTAGTAAACTCCCAAATTAGCATATCAAAATAAACATTGTAGTAAGACTGTAGTAAACTCTTAGGTCAAGAACCTCATTAGCATGTTGTACAAACATATGCACTGGACATTTTATCAATGAATACTAAAGTTCATGAGACAGGTCAGATAGTTCAAATTACATGGCTAGTAAAGTTTAAATGAGCTCCCTTACAAAATATTCAGAATTAGTAATGATCATATTTCAATGAGATGACTGTTAAAGTTTAATTTGTTTTTAAACTAAAAGAAGGGAGATGTTATGTATCTGGTTTCAGTACTGGTCATTAAGATATCTGATACCCTTAACTGAGATTACCATGCTTATAGCAGACACTTGTAAGTCTGGCTTCCTACTAGAAACACATTAACTATGTAGTTCTTATATTATGTTTGATGTATAATAAAGTCTTGATACAAAACACAACAGTTACGAGTATATCGAGTGATATAAAAGGATTCGGTTGAATGAATTCACGCATTCTGCTTGTAGCAAGCCTGCGTTTAGAAATTCTAAAATCCTAATAATTATAACATATTGTTTGGATTTTGATTTTTCGAGGAGACATACCTTTTGTCCAATCAAAGTCCAAAATACTTTGGATTGGTTTTAACGGTGTCATGTCGAATTATTAATATGGAGTGTTCCAAACTTATTATATCGTTTTGAGAAAATGATATTGAATTAAGAGCGCCATTTGCTCGATCTATAGATTTAGTACTTTGAATGTACAGTTGTATTGTATTTTAAACAGATCAAAGTTGAAAAGCTTACAAAACTGTTAATATTCAAGCGTTTAATTAAAACGTTGAACTTTACAGCTTTGATGACAATTGATCATCATTTTTCGGTTGTTAGATTTAGATGTATCATTTCGTGACCTACATATCGGCTTTATGCGTGAAACACTGTTAATTGAGCATCGTAAATTAACAACAGGGGATCGAGTTGATTTTGAATGGGGGTATGGAACCTGAATGTTCCTTGCAAAAGTGAAACTCAGCATCGTGGCTGTTATAACGTAGACATCATGGTCGTTATTAAATACCCAGAAGCATTGCAAAATAACTCCATTCTATTTCGTTTTTCCTTATTGTACCATGTATTGCTTGCACCTAATAAACGCAGCTGCTAGCTCGCACTTCATCCATAATATAAGTGGTATGATATTATGTTGGCTTTTGGGATGGAGGACGTGTTTAATTAAGAAATAACATCTGTTCTCAACTTGTTCACTGTATTTCACCACACATTCAAACATTTTAATGTACCCTGAACTGGCCAAAAGTGTCTTTGGTGAATCAATGGAGCCCTTTGTCACATTTTCTGAACATGCCACTTCAAAGTCCCATTGCTTTAAATGCTTAGCCTTGCTACACTTAGCACAGGAGTAATTCTTGTAAATACATGTAATTACTGTTAACTTTGATTATATAGGCACCATTTCTGTAAATTCACTGGCATCATTTTCACATTTTGACCATGTGTTGTCATAGGGGTAATCATCAGAACAGATGCTTTGGATATCCTGTTTATGACAATAGTTCCATATTCTCTGCAACCTTGTTATGGAGATAGCCATGGAGAAGATGTGTCAATACTTTCAGTTTCATCATTATTTCCAATTTAAGTGTCCCCAATAATATCAGTATTACGGTTTCTTGAACCTTTTCTGAAGTATTTTGTGTTCAAAAGTCCCTCTAATCTGATGTTTTCTTTGTTCTGGTCTTAACTGTTGGAACGCAATGATATGTGACTACAACAGGAGTAGTTATATCTGAGTCTGACTGTATACATGCAGTTATACCAGAATTCTTGATTTCTGCTAAAGTTATATTTGGATTCTCATTTCCTGTTGATTTGCTTGTGAGCCCACCACTATTTTCAGTTAGTGCTCTAACTGCAAATGCACTTCTTCATGTTCTTCTGTCAAGTGTCACAATGATACATGTTATATGTTAAAAGTACTGGCTTATACTTTTGTTGACTCATTCCCGTTATTGTCCTTAATGGTTGCTTCAAGATAATTTGTTCAAGATGCTGCTACTATTATAAACCGTCTGTTTTATATAAAATACATTAACTTCTGTAGTATTCTTTTTTATTGTTTCCTGTTCTTATTATCGCCAACTTGTCATATTTATCATGTTTATATTCTACCTGCATTTATTAATCAAACTAATTGTATATAATTGGATTAGTTCCTAAATCACCTATTAGTAAAACAATAACATGTCATTAATGGCATTAATAGATTATAATCAGGATGATGAAAAGTGTTATCAACACTACTGAATATAAGAACTCTTTGTATCGTTTTTGTTAATTGCATGTATAAGTAGATTGCGTGTTAGACCATCAAATTAATCCATTCATATTTCCATTTTGAGAGTTATCCATCACTATGTAAGAAATATCTAACTGCAAAGTCTTATCTACAGCTTTTCAGGCAAACTGTTTGACAGATCCATTTAAAATTTTGAAGAATGATTCTTTGTTTGAGAATCTTGAAATAATTAGTTTTTGGACATTCTTGGTAAATGTTTAAACACTCACAAAACTGTAAGTTCTGAAATGTTGTTTTTTTGATAATTGATATAAAAGTCCCGTGTGTCAAGTTATCCTGGGACAAAATTTGAAAGTTGTCGCAATCTACTTGCTACAATACCCAGGGAGATATGCCGAGTACTAAAATGGTACTCATGGGATTTTAACGCTAACTGAGTACTCATTTCAGACTTTCAGTAAATATTAGTACTAAATGAGCACTTATAACATGAGTACTGATTTATTGCATGTTTTAGTGAGTACTCATATCATGAGTGATAAAATAGTACTAATAAAATTGGTTTTTCAGCACTAAATGAGTATTAATATCATGAATTAGTACTAAATTAGCACTCGTGACATGAGTGCACTTTTGCCAGAGTGCTAATTCAGTACTTATTGAGTAATCAGCATATCTCCCTGTGTAGGATATAGTTGATGGAGCTAAGTGCGGAATGAAATGCACCAAAACTGCTATTTTAGCTCTCAACCAGACATAGAAATGCACATACAGAGGTTCTCTATATCTGTACTGAAACTTCATTTGTTGGAATAACAATGATGACATGTATATACAAATAATGCGATGGTGAAAGTTGTGAAATAATGATGATAAAGTAAATTGCTTACCACTTGGACTTATAAATATGAAACAAAGTGGATATGAGATCCTGCCATCTCCATGATGATAGACATAGCTATAAGCAACATATCTGGGTAGATGTTCTGGCAATTCCGCCTGTAGCTCCTCTATAGTAATGTTATCCTAAGAAAATACAAATTTTGAAGCATCTAAATATGAGGTAAACATCACAATAATTTCAAAAAATGTTTGGACATTTTAGGATTGATATTTTCTGTAGCTTTATGAAAAACATCTTTAATAATAGACAGATACATGTACCATATACAGGGTGTGCCAAATAAAACGCAATTTTCATGTCACCATCACAAGTGTTGACATATTCTTATGGTCTCCAACATTTTTGTGATTGTAGTTTTATAGTGTCAGTGGTCCTTAGTAATCAAATAATGTAATAAATAATGCTTTGGCAAGAAAATTCTGATAGATTTTATGAAAAAATATGTATTTTCTCATGATATACCACATGTAAATGTGACAAGATTGCAACATATTTCAAACTAAAGTGCTAGATTGCAGCATCAAGTCTCATTTGAAGTGCAAATTATGATTTTGAGGCAAATATCAAAATATTAAAGCATTTTTTAAAAAGTGACATTTTTGCCCACCATGTAATATGGTATGGAAAATGATTTCAGACCATATATTGACCATGACTATTTTCTGAGCATAATCACACAATATATTTTCTTTCAACATTAAAACATTTACCTCAGATTTGTTTTCCTTTTTTCCCATTTTTTAAACATACATGTGTTAATCAGTTCATACACTTTGTCAATAATTTCTGAATTAGTAGGTTGTTGAAATAGGATAAAATCCAGAACCACATATTCAATGTTATTTATTAAATTGCTTGTTCAATAATTTATTCATAAAACAAAATATGATTGTGACTGTCTAAACCACTTTCTATCCATACATGGTTCTTATACTCACCTCATATTCTTCGTCAAGAATAATCATATAATTTGTTGAATCTATTTTCACTGAAAGTAGACAAAATTTAGACTGGTTAAATTAGTCCATGGTATGAAATCTCTAGGACGTCTAATAAATGAGCTGGTAGCACACTTTAGCGCAGCGATATTTGACCTCACATTAGCATACCTACATATGTCCCCTAATAATTTTTATTATAACCGTTTAATATACTTCCGGCTTTAAGGCTGAATTATGCCTGCCATTAACAGAGGTAAAAAAAATTCCAAAAAATAAACTTCCAAACTTTCACAATTTGGAGTACACAATGCAATAGCAAATAATATAACATGATTTTGAGTATATGATTTCGGTTTCTAAGCTAAAAGTTTGAGGTTATTTTTCTTATCAATACCAAAAGATTATGTCATCAGTGTATCGACATTTTGTATTGTTTCTCGGGTATTAATAAGATAAATGCTACAAATGAATCACTTTCATATTAGAATGACAAATGCTTAAATTATGCTAGTTTTTCACAAAATGGGTCTCAATACGTTTTAAGATATGAACTTTTATTCAGCGGTGAACATTATCAATAAAGGTGGGCCTATTGCTCTTCCTTGACTAATTGCGACTACAGCTAAAATTCTATTTCTCGTAGTTAGATATAGCTCAGTTGCTTATGAAACAACCATCAAGACTTGGTCGAATTCATGAATAATTGAGAAAAATCATTATCATTATCTTCCTAAAATTTGATTATATCCTTCGGTAAGGTCAAAGAAGAAACAACCATCAGAAAACTTGATTATAGCCACAACTAATGTCGAGGAAGAATTGTAAGGCGTTCGACTGCATATGACTCTAATTGATTATTAGACATGCCCTTGGAATATATGAACATGCAAATACCTCTGTAACATCGAATTAGATATGAATCTTACCTATTTGTTATTGTATTATGTTTTATAAAAATCAACAATAATTTGTTGTTAGACCCTTTACGATTATATGGAAAAATTCTGGTTATAAAATGTTTTAACTGGTAAGAAAACTAATACGTTCCCAATCAAGAAAAATTACCTAAATATTCCATACAATTTTGTTGAATCGGTTTAGCTCATATTTGAAAAATCAAACAAAATCTGAAAAACACACTTGTGTAATTACATTAATTAAACACCGACGTCCGACATCTACAGTAAAAAAATCATAGTAATTTTGACATTATGATAATCAATTTTTTTGTTCGTATGCTTAGAATAACGGTCTGTGTCTTATAAAATGTATAAAAGTTCGAATCAAAATATTTACGTTTTTTGACCCCTTGTGATGAAATACATTTTTCGACCCGAAAGCCGGAAGTTTTTTCAGCAAATGGTATTTTAAAAGAATCAAGACATATACACCTTCATAAATATTGCTTCAAATGTTGCTGCGCTATAGTGTGCTACGGATCCTTCATATTCGGAAGTCATACCATGGACTAAATATCCATTATTTTATTTCACAAGTAGCTGAGCAAGGTGTGTCTGATTCCAGCCAATCCAATAAAGTATTTCATATAAATTGAAAATTATATAATTTCATATAAGTTGAAAATAGATAACAAGAGATTTAAAAAAAAATACATGTTTGATACACCCTGTGTGCAGATTCTAGTTATAAACTACCCTCTGCCTTGTAGACTATATTACAGTTTGGTAGCCCCGGCCCGCCTAACCTCCATGAAATGACCTATACCCCTGACAGTATTTTTGATTAATATTCATGTCATATTCCTATAGTTATAATATAATATACTCCTCAAAAAAAATTAAGGACCAGTGGTTTTCCTCATAGGTTTACATGTTAACCCCATATTTGTTTGAATGACTATTTTCTTAGAGTGGAACAAAAGAAATCCCAATAAAGAAAATAAATTTGTATCTTTACCATCGAAATAAAGGCTTTAATTTTACCGATCAGCATATGACACAGCACAACGGATACTGTATTAAATAAATGACAACAATCAGACAATAGGTGTGGGTCAAATGTGATGTAAAATCGAGGTGACAACTGTAATATTTGACAACGGTATATGTAAAGACAATGGTAAAGTGTCTATTTGCCATTGTCATTTTCCTATGTTCCAATACAATACATCCAACATAGTCCGTTGTCACATCTTATCATATGCCGTTGGCTTTGTAAATTATTTCAAATTCAGGTTCCGTTATCATTGATGATATCGAAGAAGCTATATATCTCGACAATTCCTGACTCCATTTGATAGAAATTGGGATTTCATATATAATACATCATCACACGAGCTTAACACATGCACAGAATTAGCGAAGATAAAGTCACATGAAACAAGGACCGAGTGATTAAAGAGTTGAAGTGGTGATTATGTCCGCCATTTGTGACAATCAGGTATCTGACTTAAATGTTGTCAGGCTATTCCGGTATGATTAAAATGGTTTAGTGAAAAATTGACAAAATAAATTTTCCACTCAAGAGAGAAAAAATCAATAATACCATTTTTATTTATTTTTTTTTAAATTTTATGATATCTTATGACAGAAACTATACAATAAGTTATTCAATGATTCAACTACAATGCTGTTGGGGGTTGGGCCCAACCCTAGCAATGTCAATAATAATTGAATGAGAAATTAATCAATTTTACCACAATGAAAGGACCAACGGTCCTGTGCTCACACAGTTTGGAACCTAAAATCAGAGGAATGTACAGGGTGACCCCAAAAAAATGCAACCCTCCATTTCTTCTATATTTTTCTTAAATGGAGGTAAATTTCTCTGAGATTTGGCACACAGGGACTTCATTCAATGTGGGATCCTCTTGCAAAGTTTTAATAATCATAGTCTTATATTGATCACTGGCGGATCTGGGGGGGGGGCCCAGGGGCCCGGGCCCCCCCCCCTTGGGTGGGCCCAGAAAAAAAAAATTGTGCCCAAAAAAAATTTTGAGCCAAAAAAGGCTTTAAGGCCCCAAAAAGTAGGCCTTTTAGGTCTTAAATTGGCCTTCTAAGGCCTTGTTTTTTAATTTTAGGCCAAATTTTGAAGAAAATGGGCCTCAAAATTTCAAAATTTGGGCCCACTTTTGGGTTTTTGGGGCCCAAAATTTTTTTCCGCGCAAGCGCGGACGTTTTTTCTCAGACCACAAGTTTGGGCCCCCCCCCCTTGTTGGTTCCCAGATCCGCCCCTGTTGATAGAGTTATGGTTGTTTCAAAATATGCTCCAGATGTAGTCAATTTCGCTGAAAACAAAATTCAACGAAAACTGTTCATAACACGGATGCATTCTTCCCCATGGGTATGTGGATATGGCTCAAATTTTGCAGCCATTGCTTGTTGGAGTTCTGTAATTGCGGTAGGGTTATTTTCAGACACATTATCCTTTAAATAACCCCATATATAGAAGTCAGGGGCATTGAGATCAAGATTGTGGGATGTGGGATTGTTCTCCGTCCCAGGAAAGATAATCTTCTCATAGAAATGACAAGTGGGCCGGCCTATGCTATCATTAGAAGTGTGAGGAGTAGCTCCATCCTTCTAGAACCACTGTTCTTGTCTATTGAAGCCTCTATGTCACTCTAGAACTGCCTAGAACTTCCTGGGAATGCCAACATTGCGCTGTGTGTTAACAGTAACAGTGTTGCCATTATCAACCTCAAAAGAAAAGGGACTGATGATTTCATGTTTGGAAATTGGCAGCCCAAGCTGTGCATTTAACAGAATGAAGGGGCCTTTGAAGCACTTCATCTGGAATTTGTGATCCCAGAACACATTATTTTTTGAGTTTACATGTTTAGAGAGAAGGGAATGTGATCCGAAAACCTAACACTGGAAATTGGCGACATTTGGAGCATATTTTGGAACGACCATAACTCTATCAATATAAGACTATGATTATTGAAACTTTGCCAGAGGATCCCACATTGAATGAAGTCCTTGGGTGCCAAATTTCAGAGCAATTAACCTCAATTTAAGAAAAATATTGAAGAAATGGAGGGTTGCATTTTTTGGGTCACCCTGTATATCCTGACTTTCAAACAAAAATATTGATTTGGAAATCCAGTCTCGACCTTTAAGAAACTTAGATAGCACAGTTGTGTGACCTAGTTTGATGACCTTTGACCTTGAAAATTTTACTTAGAGCTCAGTAAGGTCTTTTGTGATTAAGCTGACCAAAATTTACATCGAAAAATCAATTTGAAAAATCAACTTTTTTGACCTTTCGAAGGTCACTGAAGGTCAAGTAAAGGTCAAATCCTAAAACTAATGTCAGGTTTGAACTCCTGGCAACTTGTAGATGATTTTCAAAAATAATTGGTCACATTGAAGCAAGTTGAAAAATAACTTATTTTTACTGTGTTTTGAAGTCAAATATCTCAAAAACGGTAAAAATTTGATGCTGACATATACTGAGCAATATGTAGGGAATGCTTAAATCTAGTAATAGTGTAATTCATTGCAAGAAATGATCAAGTATAAGGCAAACTTTGAGAAACTTGTCAATCACAAAACCATTGATTTTATACATGAGTTGAAAATGACAAATTTTATAGAGAGCTTTGAAAACTTCAGAGGACATAAGTTACATATAAAGCAACTACTACAAGTTATTTGAAAGTTCTTCTTCAACAAAGTGTCTAGTATTTACAGAAAATTTGACTTTTTGACGTCAAAATCAGCAATTTCTTGGAAACTGGGCGAACTTGGGAAATGGAGATGATGGGTCAAATAGGCATTATGGATATGCATAAAATGAATGTGGCTATGACTCAATCCGAATAGCCAATGTTGACGGACCGACGGATGGACAGATGGACGTACGGACCAACGGATGCCTGGTCGATCCCATAGGCTCACTGTGTGAGCCAAAAACAATAACTGAGCAAAAATGTACTTACTGACAATAGCACCATTATCTTTACTTTTACGGAATCTGAACTTTGTTAGTTTTTGCTTCAAGGAATCTTCGATTTCACAGATTTTCAAGTTTTGTGCCTGAAAGATTTTGAATAGAATTCATTATACATGTATGCTGTGAATGAATGAATTTAGAATACATAGATTTGGTTGCAACATTTTAATTCAGTACCTATATCTAAAAAGATGGTTTGTTGATCATATACGGGGCTTTGGTGTCTGTTGTGGCACCACAGTCTACGTAGCTCCCACCACAGCCTAATATTGGCATATCATGACTGTTTTTACAGTCTAAACTTGACTAAATATACAATAAAAGCATGTAAAAAGGATAAAATATAAAAATATGATTTATCACGATTGAGCCCTGACATATGAGGAGCATTTGAAAAATTTGTTTCTTTTAACCTAAAAATATCAGTTTTAAACTAATACTTTGCAGGATGCATAGATAAGGTACTTATAAATAAGCAATGCAACATATATAGTCTATAATTATGTTCAAAATGAACATGTATGCTCAATGATTCATGGGGTTAGACCTGACCTGATCCAATTAGACTAGTCTGAAACCACTGGAGCAGTTTGAATGTGTATCACATTACATCACAAATCAGCCCACAACATGTACTCATCATTAATAACCTTCTTTAGACTCAATATTTGCTTTCCATGTCTTTTTTCGGCCACTTCTTGGCTCATTTTCATTTAGCCATTTCTGAACTTATACCAGTCGACAAAAAAAACAGTCAAGTGAGGCTAAAAAATACACTTATACTCAGAGCTGTCAAGTGTCCCGCGAATGGCGGGATTATCCCGTGAATTTGACCAAAATTTGGCTTATTCGCGTGTCCCGCAATGTCCCGCGAATTCCCGCAAATGACGGCTTTGACCTCCGCGAATTTTCAAAATTGTAACAATCCCCGAGGCTAAATAATTGTGATTATATTGTGATATAAGAAGCTAAGCTTTTTGCACTTTTGAGGAGTCAAGTTTACCTAATTTGAAAAGTGCTGCCGAACTCCCAGTGCATCAGATCATGGAAGACTGCTTTTGGAAGGAGCATATAGTACACTTATAAAACTATGATTTTGATCCAAATAACACCATCTAGCATGCCGTTTGGTATGAAAATAAAGAGGAAGAGTGCAAATTTCATTTTAATTACGGAAAAAGGGATGTATGTCACGATTAGTTCCAACGTTGGCCTTTTTACTACGCGTGTCACGGCCTTCATCTCAGAACTGAACAAATGTTAGCAAACGCGAGTTCCAATAAAAGGACACTGATATCTCGAAAAGAAACCTGACTCCCCATAATTTGATGTAGAATAATCGAACCCCTATACGAATAGGTACATTTTGATATATAACACTATGGGGGTAAATGTTTCATACACACTGTAGTTGGTCACGAACGCCATAAGTGCAAAGTATTCACAAGAATTTCTGAATTTCGTGTCGGATTACGGTACTCACACCTAAAGCGTGGTTTTTGATAGTTTAATAATAGTTCTATGCGTATTGTGTGGAATTGTGTTGACGTTTACTTAAGTTAAGTGCATTATATTTGATAAATCAGTATCTGAAAGTTTGATTCAAGAGTACTTTTACATTAAAAATCCCTTGAATGTCCTGCGACATCCCGCAAAAGGTGGATGTCCCGCAAAATCCCGCGAATTTAGGGCACTTTGTCTGGAAAAATTATCCCTCTTTGAAGTCTTTGGTGGTTACCCTGTAAATTGTCCCGCAAGTAGCGTGTTTGTCCCTCGAATGGTCCCGCGAAATCCCGCGAATTTGATCAAAATTTGACCTTTTAGCGCAATCACCCAAATCCCTTAAATGTCCCGCGAAATCCCGCGAATTTAGGTGGATGTCCCGCAAAATCCCGCGAATTTTTGGAACTGGGTCTAAAAAATCTGTCCCGCGAGAAAATCTTTGGGGGTTGACAGTACTGTTTACTTATAATTTCAAGTGATGGGATACTATAACACTCTAGTAGTAAATACAACTGTGCAAGTTCAAGGATTTTGTGTTAGGGTTGGGTTTGATAATAACTGTGAGCGAAGCGAAACCACATGAGTGAGTGCAGTGAATGAGCGCGAAAATAAGGGGGTCTTAGTGGGGTTCTACCATATGCCGTTGTCTTTGTAAATTATCCCAAATTCAGATTCCATTGTCATTGACGATATCGAAGACGCAATATTGTGGCGATTCACGACCCAATTTGATTGAAATTTGAATCTCATATGATACATTATCACAAGAGCTTAATGCATGCACAGAATTAGCGACGATAAAATCCCATGAAAAGAGGACCAAGTGATTGAAGAATTGAAGCGACGGTTACGCCATTTGTGACAACGGTGTCTGACTTTACCGTTGCTAGGCTATTCTGGTGTGATATGTATTATGTCAAAAATACGTATCTAACGATCATGGACCTGGTGTCAAAATATATCGAAGTTTGATCAAGGCTAACATGTATTTTCATTAGCTACAAAGAAAACACCCGAACGTACCTGATTTCTGCATGACTTCAGGCTATCCTGAGTGGAAGAGGAAATACACTGACGAAAACTGTTGAAGAATAGATAATTTTTAAGATGGCTTTTCAGGAAGTTGGGTAATGCGCATGCGCCTCCATGCCATGAGATTTCTGCTTCCGGTTACACGCATGCGCATTGGCAAGACTTCCTGATCAGACGACATGGAAATAACAAGTTCCAAATACATTTTTTGTCAATTACACTGTATCCCGACTCTGGATCGCATGATATGGTCAGGAAAATGATACTTTAGAATGTTATGCATCGATTGAAGTTGGTAAATGTTTCCAAGATTCCTTACATTTTCACAAAAGACCTTTATAAAGGACTGGGAATACCAAGTTTTCCATAGCCATAAATCTAAAGATGGCTAGGCCTATGTGCAAATATAGTAAGCGTAGAAGACATTATACAGCCCAGACATTGCTCTAATAGCTCGGGAAAGGTAAAATGACTCCCAAATTTCTTCTATGGTCTACTCTTCATTGAACCTTTAATAAAACCAAAATAACGTCACATTTATGGGGGTCATGTGATAAGTAGGACCTGATAGTACTGTTGAACGTTTGCTGAAACTTCCTAGATCTAAAATGATTTGAATCTTGATTGATGGAGAGAATCAGAAAAGCCAAAAGGTGAAATGGACTGTAAACGATATAGCGGCATCTGTGGCATACCCAGAGTTTCTGTAGAAATAGGACGGCGAAATGAAAGTTAGACTCACCATGTTCACTCCAGTCCACACACAGATCAACACTTCGATTAATTACAGTAAATATGAATATCATAAATCGTCTAAAAGTTTCTCTAACTTTTATTTATCCGGAAATGAAAATGATGCACTAATTAAACGAACGAACGAAAGAAACCGACCGCGCGTATTTTTTCAATCATGGTTAAGGGTTGTACAGTACATAAACTATCATGGACGAAGCTCTATTTTTCTAAGAAGTACGCCACCACCACGGGAACAACAGTTGAGTGAATCAAAAATCGAGCATTCAGGGAATTTGGGATATTAAAGGAGTTTCTAAATGATTTTGAAATCTCGCTAATTCTCGTTTTTTCATGAGATTTTAAGAGATTTACACATTTTACCTCTAATGACTTACTTTAATAGCATATTTGAATTCAGTGATATGTTTCCTACAATAATAGCTTTGATTTACATATTTATGTCATTTAAATCATTCTCCATGACATTTAAAAAAAACTTGGGCCAAATCTCCATTGATGTTATGCTAAAATTCTTTAAAACCATGGTTTAATCGTATTACAACCATGTTTAATCACAATATGTTCATTGACAGGGTCATTTAATAGTATGCCATTCAATTTTCAGACAGATTTAACTAACACTCTTTGATAAATCATGAAATTAAGTGACTATTGCAAGCTTTTTAGAACTCAATGGAAGGTTGGCCCAAGATGAACAAAGGTGACATCTATTATGTCAGCTTTATTCAGCTTTATTTAGCTATTTAGAAACTATACTAATTAATGTGTTTTTCGCTCCTTTTCAAATATGTTGCTTTTTATATATAGTTTGACAATTTTGACCTGTTGCTGCAGTTGCTATGCAAAATATGGCTATATGAAAAAAGAGTAAATATATGGTATATGGTATCTCAAGGCACCAGAAGGTTAATGTTCAAAAAAGAATTAAAGAAGACTTATTGTACCCTAAAATTCCCCATTGTGCTGACTCTCTGACTGTAACTGTGTTCAATTTACATGGAAAAGAAATCCATCTCTAATAGACTAGATGTGAATAGAAATAGTCTTGATTTACATCATTAAAATTCAGTCAAACTGATGTCGAATTTGGGATCTACATGTAAAAAACATCTAGAAATGTGGCTTTGAAAAGAGTCTATCAACTTTGAAAATTTAATATTCTTTGAAAATGTGACTTCTAGGTCGGGGAGATTCCCCATAGACCTATTAGACCCCATGTTGTAGAATCACAAAAAGTGAAATATCTTTTCTTGTGTTGGGCAGATCATATTTTCTTTTACTGAAAATATTTTAATTTGAATAACTATCAGACACCTAAGAGTAATATGAAAAGTGAACCAGTAAAGTTAAAGGGAACTTTGTAATGACCTGTTACATGTATGTTATTTCCCCCGAATCAGCCACCTGGTGGCGAAACTGGAAGCTACCTACTTGCATCTAGGCTAAGTAATTGGTTCCACATTCCAGATCAATAGAGTTTTGAGAAAATCACCCTAAAACTAATTAATTAAACCCTTTCATTAAATTCAATCTCGAATAAGAATGCCAAAATGCCATTGACTCTTCTCAACTTTCATGAATACCATTATACCATTGATGGCTTCCAGGCACATGTCCTCTCAGCTGACTCCCTCCCCCTAGCTAATGATGCAATTGCAACAATTACAGGATGTCTAACTAAGGGAGTTACACCATATGCCTACAGAGTTAAGGATGGAGACAGTGTGTTATCTGGTCATAGTGATGGTGGAATGTTTGGTGCCAGCAAGGAACTATGTGGCATCTTAGAACAAGCAGAAATTGAAAATGCCTTACTTGTTGTACATAAGCCTGGAGATAGAATGCTTGGTTTAAACTCCAGAAATAACCCTTCATTACTGAAAGCAGCTAAAAGTGCATTAGCCAACTCTTTTCTCATGGATAAAGCCATCCAAGATACTGTGGGCTAAGATACCACCCCCCCCCCCAAACTCTATACATCTCATGGTGAACTTGTGAATTTTTAGGGAAAATGACAGATCCCTAATACCCCATATGAACACCACAACATATCGACATAATACTCTGAATGAGCTTAGTTACTTCAAACATTGTAATTATAATCCACTTGTTTTAAACATCTACAAACTATATACTCAAGCAGCAATACATTGTGTTGATTTTGTAATGATAAAACAAATTTATGACCATTTAGACATTTTTCTTTTCTTCATCATATTCTACACTCACTCTGTTACACAAACACATTGCATTCATGGGTAAGCCACTGGGCTACTTATGGTTGTTGATCCTTCTTATTGATTGTTTCTCCTTTGTAAACAAATCCATGTGTTTTCTTTTTTGGTGGTCATGCAAATCTGAAGCAAGCTAGTGTCTGACTCCTTTTTGTGAAAGTTTTGTTTAATTATCATTACACCTGTAAATAGTTACAGTTTCTCCTTGTAAATATTGAAATCAGGTCTTGATTGAGTGAGTGATTGATTGTCAATTACTCTTTATTATCTATAATTTGACCTTGTTTTGCTAATATACTCCATGGTTGCTAATGCAAAAGGTTGGTGTTGCAAATTTTAATGCAAGTGTCAAACTTCTTTTCATCTAACAAACAGTTGTAAAAACTACAGCTTCTCTTCTTATTATACAATCAGTCATGTATATTGAAATGTGTCTTGAAGGACTGATGGATCAATTGACGGTCAGTTACCCTTATTATTAATTGTATTTTATTTTTACTAATATATTCCATGGTTTCTAATGAAAGATAAAAATCTAACTGGAATATCTGATGCTATTAAGATAGCATTGCCTTTAATCTCTATGATTTCAACCTGTTCATTTTCATGTGAGGTTAAACACTACTGCACTTGTGGGGGGCCCTGGGATGGGGGTATACTTTTGAAAAGAGGCATAGGATAGGCAATACTATTCTACAATGGAGGGCTGCTATAGGTCTTTTTAATGGAGGAATTGTGTCTTTTAAGAGCATTGTTAAAAATAAATATGATTTGTCATCATACAGGACTCTGTATAAGTTAGGTGTCAAAATTATGGACCTTCTGGTGTGTCTTGCAATGTTAATACTTCCACATATCCCAGACAATTGCATTTTCAATTCTTGTTGTAAGTCCATATTGCTCATACTATATTTGATTTCTATATGCATTATATATTTGCTGATTCCAATGATGATTATACTTATCATTAAACATCATGTGAAATGCATTTTAAGTCCATACTCTGTTATCCTGACAACCAAACTAGCTTTGAGCACCTTATTGTTACCTGGACTTTATAGTTGTATTTACATTCCAAACATAGGAGAACTTTTTCTTGTTTTATCCGGAGATGTACATCCTAACCCAGGACCAGATAGTGTACATTTGTCATGTCTTTTTTCTAATATTAATAGTATCACTGCGGATAGTGGGGCAAGATTTGAATCACTGAAAATTAGAGTTAAAGAAGTTAATCCCTCAATTATCAGTCTCTGTGAGACTGGTGCTCTATCCAAAGATGACATTGCCAATGGTAATTTTGACATAAAACATTATAGGACTTTATACTCTGAGTTAGGAAGAGGCCTTCTTATTTATATACATGACCAGATTGCTTTTAAGTCAATTGACTCAGAATTTTACATTGAAGGCTTAGATTGTCTTTTTGCTGAATTAATAATAAATCAAAAGAAAATTTTATTTGGAGCCTGTTACAGGTCTCCAAGTATGAATGCTAACGAAACCCGTGAATACTTTTCTCTTTTTAAGCAACAGCTTCATAAGATTAATAATAATGTTCCAACTTTTGACCATGTTATGATCATGGGTGACCTAAATGCTAAAAACTCTATTTGGTATGATAACAATGATGGCAACTTAGCTGGTGATAAACTTTTAGAATCTATTGATGAGTCTAATTATGTACAATTAATAAATAAACCCACAAGAATTACAAGGCATTCAAAGTCATGCATCGATCATATTATTACAGAATCACCTGATATTTTTAATTCCTGGACAATAACTGACCCAATTGGAAGGACTGATCACAGTACTATAAATTTTACACATACTGTGAAAGTTTCAATAAAAAATACTACAAACTAATAAAATGAGAGCGTTTTTCCGGGAACTTATTGAACGACCTGGTATAACTCAAATTAATCTTAAAGTTCAAAAGAAAAAATCAGTGAGAAAAACATTATGGAAATATAAAGAAACCAATCTTGTAAGCTTAAATAACTCAATACGTAATGAAAACTGGAATCAAATTATTAATAATGGCATTGATATGAATAAAATTACAATAGACTTTGTCCAGAAATTAACAACTATTTACAAAACTAATATCCCAAACAAAATCATTACTATCAGGGCAAATGATCAACCGTGGTTTAATGACAAACTTAAGTTAGAAATTAAAAAGAAAAGACAATACTACAATCAAATGATAAAAAATCCAAGTGATGAAAATAGAATAAAATATGACCAACAAGCATTACAATTAACAACTTTAATCAAAGAAGCTAAGTGTCAAAACGAAATAAATACTTTGGAATCAATGAAGACTTTGAGCAAAAATGATAAGAACTATTGGAAAATAATTAAATCTTTTCTCGGTAATAAGCATGTTAAATCTGATATCCCATCAATTATAGATGAAAATTCAAATCACCCACTCACTAGGAACTTAGATAAAGCTAATGCATTTTTGACTTTTTTTGCAAATAAGAATCATCTAGACGAAAATGACAATCACTTTTTGCCAGACTTTCCAATGAGAACAAACTCACTGCTGATTTCAGCTAAAACTGATCAGTTTGAAGTTATGAAGTTAATTTTGACTCTTGACCCTTCCAAAGCTTGTGGCCCAGATGAGATAACAAATAAAATGTTAAATTTAACTGCACACTCACTTTCTAAACCACTATCTGAACTTTTCAACAAACTAATGTCCAAGAATATTTTTCCTGATACTTGGAAAATTGGCAGTGTATGTCCTATTTTTAAAAAACAGGACAAATCCAAGATTAGTAACTACAGACCCATAACATTACTCAATACATTATCAAAATTGTTTGAGAAAATTATAGCTGACCGAATCAAAAAACACTTAATTTCAAATGATCTTTTGTTCAAGTATCAGTCTGGCTTTCTACCAGGCCATAGCACTCATTCTCAGCTAATGGCAATTGAACATTTTTTACTTACCAATTTTGACCAAGGCAAAGCCTCTAAAACCATTTTTCTTGACATTGCAGCTGCTTTTGACCGTGTTCCGCATAACTTACTTCTACACAAACTAAGGGCCTACGGTATTCATGGACAACTTCTAAATTTATTAAAATCATATCTGACAAATAGGCGGTTTTTTGTAAACATTGCTGGTGAGTCATCAGTAACAACTGAAGCAGGCTTCCTAAACTGTGGCGTGCCACAGGGATCAATTTTAGGCCCACTTCTATTTATTTTATACATTAATGACCTTCCTGATAATGTAAACTCCAAATGCTATATCTATGCAGATGACACATCTCTTCATTTTATTTTTGACCCCAAAAAGCCCCAAGAAATCGATGAACTAGTTAAATCTGATCTAACTGAGATAGAAAATTGGTCCAAATTGTGGAAATTACAATTTAAACCAGAAAAGAGCTGTGAAGTTATTTTCCATGGAGTTAGAGCAAATCCTGAAAATGTAAGCAAATCCTTTCTAAGTGACTCTGAAATTGAAAGAACAAATGTACATAAACACCTTGGATATACTTTTGATCATAATCTGACCAATCAAAACCATATTGAAGAAATATATAATAAAGTTAGGAAAATGATTAATCCCCTGAAGAACCTTAAAACAAAGTTAAACTCAAGAGATCTGGAAACGCTTTTCAACTCATTTATAAGACCTCATTTTGATTATGGTACTGCTATTTTTAACACTGCATCAAAATATCTTCTAAATAGACTTGATCAAATTTATTATCAGGCTGCTCTTTTGTGCTCTGGTTGTCTTCATGGCAGTAATACTGATAAAGTTTTGAATCTCCTTCAATGGCCTTCTCTAGACACAAGAAGAAAAATGCAAATTAACAACTTTATGTTTAAAGTTGTAAATGGTCCAAATCCACTCTTTTTAGATGAAATTTTTGATAAATTCAAAAATCAGGGAACACGCAATCTGCGTGATAGATCTGACTTTAATTTACCAACCAGGTGCTCAAAGAGGTTCTTGAATTCATCAGTTCCATCAGCAATATCAAACTGGTCACGACTACCAAAACAATTACGTAATTTGAAAACTCTCCAATCCTTTAAAAAACACCAAAAGATTTTGTTTAAAAACCAAGAAAGTTTTATTAGCACCTCCAAACTCAATCTAAAAAGATCTCATGAAATTTTGATTAACCAATTTAGAGCTGATCTTCTTTTCAAAGCCCAACTTTATGCTCACAACTTTACTTATGTTGAGAATCCAAACTGTAAATGTGGAGCCCCCCAGACAGAAAAACACTTCTTCTTTCAGTGTCCCCTTATTAAAGAAAAGATAACAAAATTAAAAACTGATATTATTAATATAACTGGACTATCAGATAAACATTTAACTCAGAATGATCTCCTTTACTTAATGAAACATGGCTCTGACAATATTTCCCTTGATCTAAATTCACATCTCCAAACCTCAATCGCTGAATTCATTGAAATGAACCTATAACGTTTTCCCCTCCCTACATACTATTTATACTATACTTTATTTTATATTATCCACACTTAATATTTCCACCCCATGGCCAACCACAAGTGCAGAGTGAACCCCTTGACCTAATCATAATTTTGTATTTTGTGCTATTAATGTACCCTTCTATAATGCCTTCGGGCGACTGAAGGGATTTATATTATGATATTTTTATGAAGCAATAAATATTTCTTAATAAAAAAAAAAAAAAACTTTCATGAAAAATATGGTCCTGTGGCTTCTCGTGTTACTGGGTATGTGGGATAAATCATTAAAATATTTGAGTATAAAGTGTTAAAACAGCGTATAGTACAAGCATCACTAGATATAGTAAAATAGCAAAAGGTTCATTTGGTCATAATAGTAATCAAAGAAAGGACCAAGGAAAGTGTTGCAACAGATTGCAAACTGTCATATGTTGGATTTCAGCTATCTATGGGGGATTTGAACAGGTGCACATGTTAGGCCAATGCATTAATTTGAGATCAAGCACTCATAGAGGTGATAAAATAATATCTTTAAAACCACTGTTTAATAATGAATCCTATTTTCCTTTTAAGATGTTAACCGT